CTTAACTGTCACCGTCCCACAGGTGGGACGTTTGCCACTATTTTTTTAAACAATAATATCTTAGTAAATACCTTAAATAATATTGACAAACTATATATCATTTGAAAGCTTACAATCTCTAGTCTCCATATTTGGTGACTGATTTTCAAAATATATTACAGAGGAGCCATAATTTATCAATATAAAACAAGAATATTTTCATACTCATAAGGCGTGTTCAGACCTTAGATATCAACCTAAAATTTGAAACACAACTTGTTCAGATTTTTGGCTTTGATCTTTCTGCCATTTTAGAGTAGCCCAGGTTTTGAAAATATATATTTTATGTAAAATATGAATAATTAATATTTTTACATTGTACATTTCCATAAACTCAAACTTCTATAACTTTTTTTCTGTTTCACTTTCCTAATTTATTTCACTTCTACAAAAATCTGCCAAATGTCTTCTTTAAAACAAGACCAATCATATATCTATATTCCAAAGCATTCTTGAATTACAACCATTTAAGTTCGAAATGTGCATTTTCATGTCTATTCAAAAAAGGGGGGGTGACAGTTAACAGGTTAAACTATGTTTAAAGTCCTGCCACAACAGCTAGTGTGATAATTTAAAAAAAGAAAAGCAACTTCGGGAACCCAGGCCACTGAGAGAGACCTGTAAGGTTGTGAGTGCTCATGCATCCGTCTTAGGATGTGTTAAACGCATTATATATTGTTATTAGAGAGAGAAAGCAGAAGTCCATTGATTAAACAAGCCTGCGGGCGGTTACATTGACTGTTAAATTCAATGCTGGCGTACAGGAAAGCTAACAGTTAAATAACTGAAACAGCCAAGCTTGAATTTCTGCCCATTCAGCATGCTGTCACCTTATGTGGTGTTTACTTGTGTGTGTGTGTGTTAATACTTTCTTTTTCTACTCTCTCCCCTCACCATCTTTCTCGGTTTACTTTCATCTTTCCCTCCACGCTATTTCTGCTTTCTCTCGCATGCCATCTCATCCCAGCTGTCTTTCTTCTGTCCTCTCCTCCCTTCTTGGTTCGCTCACTTCATTTTGGTTCCATTCAGACTTCAATTTGAATGCATTCAAAGGGCCTTATTGGCAGGAAAGATAAACATTTACTTCACGGAGCAGGGGAAGGCCAATACAAATCAAGCTGTTGACAAACTCAAACACAGGCAGTCCAGGATTGACGGCGGCTTTAGGGATGAGGCTCTTGATCTTTAGCTTGACTTGTGTCTCTGTTTTGTGCGGCCCATGTACACACACACACACACACACACACACACACCGGAGTCTTTTCAGCTCTATTATGCTGCATTCGTCAAGCGTTCAATCTTTCTCGCTCTCTTCTTTGTCTCCTAAAGCCATTTCTGAGTCTGTTTCTTCTGGCTGCATTCAATTCTCTCTGCTTCTCTGTATTATGTTGTAGGTTTTCTTGTGGTGAATTGTTTTATAATGCCGCATGCGGCACGTCCAGAGGTTGCACTACAAATAATCATTATACGTCATTTTGACAGACTAGGTAGACAAATTTCTGTCATGGTCTGTTTTTGTACATTTTTGATTCCCCTGGTAATTCATTTATTGTTCCATTTGTGTACATGCCCCTTTTTCCACACATTCACCTCTTCTGGGACTGCTATATCTGCAAGTTGCATATGTGAATTAACCCATCACATGTTCTGCTATTCATGTGATATAGCGGCAATAATTCAGGCTTATATCAGTCCTGTTCAGCCCTATAGTGACATGAACACATTTAATTTGAAAGGTCAATAAGCTCTCCTCATTCCCTGAAAAGTTTTGGAAAACCACCCATAAGCTGATGTTATTGTTTAGTCAACTATATAGTATGCCATAATTACTATGTGAATCAATGTTTCTAGTGCAGAATGGATCAGAATCCTTAATATTTCGACCTCAATAAGTCACTGCAATTGATGCAAATATGTTTTTAGGTGCTGATAAACAGCAACATACACTTTTGCAATGGTCCTGAATATTTTTTCACATTATAGCCAAAGCATCTTTTGTCTGGCTCATATTATACCACTGGGACAAAACAAGCCATCTTATGCGTGTGGGTATCCTCTTTCTCAATGTGTGGATGGGAATATATGCCTGTGCTTGTGTGTGTGTGTAAGTGAAAAGCATTAGGGAAAAAACAGGCATATCATGTTTAAAAGTGGCATGTTTGTGCTACTTGCAAACCAAAATGTTCAATGCTGAACCCTTTAATAGCTTAAGTGGATGATGTAACACATGGACAGAGTGGTGTGGACAACAGTGAAGTTAAACTGAATCTAGGGCTATGTTTGGAATAGAATAATAGCATGCTGCATTATATACTGTATACGAAATGCATTTTTAATTTCTTTAAAGTCCCTGTAAAGGCAGTTCTACAAAAAAATTGTAAACACATTACAAATGTATTGCTACAACATATTACAAAGTCTGTGAACTGTGAAGCACTGAATTATGCAGTTAGACCGTTAAATAGTTTTACACCATTGCCATTTTCCGGATTTTTTGGGCTAAAACAGGGCACAAAACACATTCGCATCAGTTCGGCGCTCGATCGCGAGTTACTGTCAGTACTATTAGTTAATACAACCTACAGTTAGCTATCTCTTCGACACGGAAATGCGTGGGCTACTACCTGGATGCGATCATGTACAAAACAGATCGGTGTTTTTATTTAACCCTCAGGTGCTCTTCGTTTCGGAGTCACACTTGTTATTTTCCCGGTCAAAAGTGACCGGACACCTAAAAATGCAACTTTCTCCATCCCAGTAAAACCAATGCAATTTATTTTTGTTCAGTTATATTTATTCTTTTTAATTTAGTATTTTGAGACAGTTTGATTGAATTTATTAATATTTATGCAATATTTATGGTTTATTTTTGCCATGGAAAAGTATATATATTTTTCTAAATATATATAATTTTTAAAAAAAAATTATGAATGCAGTATTTTAGTATACTATAGAGTCTTGGCCTTCAGAAAAAAAATATTTTTTGAAGAAAATTAGCACCATCTAGTTACAGTATAGAGAAAAAGCGTAGAATCATGGTGTAATCACTAGCCTTCGTTTCGGAGTCACACTTGTTATCTTTCCGGTCAAAAGTGACCGGACACCTAAAAATGAAACTTTCTCCATCCCAGTAAAACCAATGCAATGTATTTTTGTTCAGTTATATTTTTTCTTTTTAATTTTGTATTTTGAGCCAATTTGATGTTACTTATTAAGATTTATGGTCCATTTTTGCCATTGAAAATAATACAAACTTTTTTTATATATACATTTTTTATTTTATTTTTTTTAGCAGTATTTTAGGTTAAAATAGAGACTAGGCCTTCCAAAAAAAATGTTTGAAGGCAGATTAGCGCCATCTGGTAAGAGTATGGAGAGAAAGCGTAGAACCATGTTGTAACCACTAGATGAAATGTACAGTTCTCTATGGAGAGGCATGTGAATTCCCCAGCTGTTCATGGACACGTTTACTTATTTTTTTTGTTATAGGTGGATTTCAACATATATTTAAACAATCTCAAAGACTATTTCTTATCAAGTTTTTGATTTTTAGTGATTTAAAGTTTTAGATTTAATAGTGATTTAAAGTGTTAGTTTTTGCATTATGATTACAGTCAAACCTAAACATTGTGTTAGAAAGAGAATGCTAGGAAGCAAATTTTATACACATTTTTTTTATTCTGAATTTGTACAAAAAACAAAAAAAAACAAACAATGCAATTCATTCAATTATAACACTTTATGTAAAATAATATTTAATGAGCATGTCTATTTGTGTCACTGAACTGTAACAAATATATAGGTGTGTGTTTATTTGTGCGTGTGTGCGTCTGTTTGTGAGTGTGGGTGAGTGTCAATATCACAATCTTGATGTTTTAGAGTGTCACCCCTTCATTGTTGAGCACTTTTTTCTGCATCATGGCCAATTTGTAGATTGCAAATTGTAGTTTGAAGTTGTAGATTGTTGTTTTTGTCTATTTCCCATTCATTTCCAATGGTCGGTCATGTTTGACAGAAGAGCAGAAGTGTATCTCATTTTTTTACGACCACTTAAAGTGCTCGAATCATGACCTCAATTTTTTTGTGTGTTCACATACATGTTGCCATAAAAGTCACCAAGTTTCGTAACATTCCGATGAAGCTGTGATTTTTAACATTTCAAAACATAAATTTTTTCGGTCAGAAATGACCGAAGAGCACCTGAGGGTTAAATATCCTAAAAACGATCACATCAAGAAGAGGTGGATTAATTTTGTGGAGAGCCACCTTGATGAAGAGCTGAGGATCACCACCAACATCCGCTTCTGTAGTGATCGTTTTATAAACTTTCGTCGGACACAAATGGGATTCACTGATAATCCTCTGTTACTGGTGAATGGGGCCGAACCTACTATCTCCCGCCTCAGCCTTCATCCCCCCGTCCCGAAAGCAGTATCAGCTAATAACACCGTCGACAGCTTTCCCACGAGTGGGCGTGGTTTCAGCGCAGCCAGCAGACACGCCCCCAGCGTTTGAGAGCAAGATTTTGATAGCTTATTTTATGTACTTGCCGGCTTTTTTATCATTCATATTTGGCTGAGTGGCTAATAACTCATTTTTCTGTGGTGTGACAAACTCAGAACGCATACTTAATTTTGACTTTACAGGGACTTAAAAAAAATAGTATGCTATTACTTGATGCCAAACTTTTCAAAAACAGTAGGCTACCTTGCATCATTGTTTTCACATGACCTCATTGTGTTGCATTTTTAAAGTGAATAATGTTAAAATGTTGCACGTTAAATTAAACTTCCAGCATCTAGTTATCTTGGTGGTTATTTTGTGTTTTTTTAATCCACTTTTGTGTAAAAAAAATGTACACTCCACATTTAGGATAACATAGATGATCCGAGTATTTAACGCATACAAAGAAATGGACATACTGTATTGTGCACAAACTGTATTTTGTACCTGTCCTCTAGGTGGCGGTGCAGGCAGCCAGACGACCTTTCTCCATGAGGAGCAGTGGAAGATGCCGGCTCTGCCAGCGCTGCTGCTGTCGATTCACCTCCTCTTCCTCCTCCTGCTGTTGCTGCTGCTGACCATGGCCCCGTCCTCTCACAGCCAGGCGCCCGCTCTCGCAGCTGTCAGGATGGGTGAGACGCCATGGACCACTTCCTGTTAGACGACACACAAAAGTGCATCTTCACATTATCTCCAGGGTACTAGGGTGTTGGTGATTCCTTATGGTCTTAGTCAAAACACTGGCCTGTTTTATCATACACCAAGGCAAAATATTACATCGCTGAGGAAGTCTCTTCAAAAAAAGTCACATAATTGGAGTTATCACCCATGTCTGTAGCACAAATAGTGTGAGAAAAGGTTAGTACTTCATGTCAGGGGTAATAGTGCTGCTGGCCTTCGCTACTAGTCCATCAAGAGTTCTAATTCTGCCTCCGTTCTTCCAGCTTTATTCACAGAGTCTTTGTGAAAAAATACAACTTTTTTTAATTGGGATGAGAAAATCGGCTGCACTGTTACTGTCTCCAGAAAACCCAAATGCTTTACTTGTAAAGGAGGCAGCAAGCATCAACACTCTCAGGAAAAAAGGTACAAAAGCCGTCACTAGGGCTGTACCTTTTCAAAAGGGAACACTTTTGTCCATTTTAGGTGCTAATATGGACATTTAGGTGCTAATATGGACATTTTAGGTGCTATTATGGACATTTTAGGTGCTAATATGTACATTTTAGGTACTATTATGTACTTTTTGGGTGCTAATATGGACATTTAGGAGCTAATATGTACATTTTAGGTGCTAATATGGACATTTTAGGTGCTATTATGGACATTTTAGGTGCTAATATGGACATTTCAGGTGCTAGTACGTACGTTTTAGGTGCTATTATGTATACATTTTAGGTGCTATTATGTACATTTTAGGTACCAATATGCACCCTTTAGATACTTTTGAAAAGGTACAGCCCCAGTGACAGCTTTTGTACCTTTTTCTCTGAGAGTGAATGTGAAGCCCACATTTAAAGTGACTACAAAGCTTGTTCTTGATTTAATATTTAAATACATCTTCTGAAGTACTGACCTATTACTAGGCTTATAATCTTTTTCAACTAAACACCTGTTACATGGATGAGAGAGTGTGAAGCGATAATCTCAGATATGCAGTGTTGTTTAGTTTTTTTGGTCGATTTATAACAACTAAAATTAAACCATTAGATTAAACCACTGACTTTAGAGCAGAGTTCAGGCGAAATTAAGCAATATTATCGGATTCAAACAGGAGCTTTTTCAAAGTCGCTTATACTAGGCTGTTACTTCACAGCATGTGACTGATTGCTTCAAGCATCAGCATGTTCATCTTGATTATTGCCAACAATAAAGCATCAATTAATCTCTGGAAAGCCTCCAAATGAAATGCGCTCAATAGAACAATCTAATCTGTTAACATCACAACATGCGACATTCGTTGCAAACTTGTTTCTGTTCAATCTAGATGAGTAACTCCATCTTCTTGCAATAACAAATGAAACTTCAATCCTCAACATCAAAAACTCAATTAAATTCAGAGGGTTTTTTTGTTGCTCTTCAGCTGCTATTTTGGATGATCAGTCAGCATGTGGACGCGGCGAGCGGTTGGCATTGGCTCTGGCCCGAGAGAACATCAACAGTGAGATGGAGGGTTCGTCACGAGCCCGCGTTGAGGTCGACATCTTTGAGCTGCAGAGAGACTCTCAATACGAGACTACAGACACAAGTGAGTCTAACTAAATGACATGAAACCTCATTCACAATTTTACTTCTGTAATGTGATGTATTTTGACTGAAACTTCAACATCTTGAATGAAAATTCAACAAGAACAAATTATAGGGTCGGGAATGTTTTTATTAGAATTTGATTGGGTTATGAAAAATGGGCGTTTTGAATGGAAAGTCACCAGAGATCTCTTTCAAATGGATTGACATTTATATTATATTATCAAATAGAGCTGCACAATTCTGGATAAATTGAGAATCGCACTTTTGGTTTTCCCACTTTTCAAAATGTACTTTTCCCACTTTTGTAACAGAAATATTGATACTGTGTAGATGAAAAGACTGTTTGTGAAGCTGTTTCATACCTATACATAACAACTGCTCTCTCTGGGTCAGCGATGATATGTTTGAATATTCGCTGTGACCATTTGTAAAAGATTTAATAGACATGGCCGAATCATTTGTCATTTGGGAATAAGATTGCGACCTTTCGATGATTAATCGTGTGGTTCTATTATCAGTATTAAACTAACTATTGGCAAGGTTTAGAGCTGAATTACCAAGAACAGTAGTTTAATTTTCATTAGAAATGTATTGGATTATAATAACAGAATGGAGTTTACAGGATGCTTTTTAATAGAAAGTTAAAGGTCAAGTTTGAGTGATTACTTTTTTTAATGTTTTACTATATTATATTAAATTAAACCATTATTGTTACCCAAAATTGAATTAACTTACGGCAAGCAGTTTTTAATCAAGTAGTAATTTTTGTAAGTCATTTGACCGCTGGTTAACTATTTTCAGTGGAGACAGTTGATGAAAGACATGTCAACATTAGAATAATGTGCACAAGAATAAAAAGGAAAAGAAAAAAGAGGTTCACTTTAACCACTGGACTGAAATGGACTGATAACACACACTCACCACATGTGAATCTAACAGGAGGATAAAAGATTTTCATTTGTCGCAAAATGAATTACATACCCTTGTCACACATGCACAGTGCCCTGAACATTTCAATGCAACAGTTCAAAAGCAAGCAAGAAAAAAATCTTTTCATCTAAATATACACCCTGTGCTCTCTCTCTCTCTCCTCCTCGTTCTTCTGTAGAATTAGAGCAGCAATCTTCTGTAGGCAGAGCATAAATCTGTGTTGTGCTTATTGATGTAATTAATCAAAAAGAGCTTTACATTGACTCCTAATTTGATATATCATCTAGGAACAGGACACAGAACTGGACGGCATCCAAGATGTTGGCTTTTCTCTGCTCACTGCAATGTCTGTCTCTCTCTTTCTCTCTCAATCCAGTCCCTCTCTCATTCAGTCACTGTCTTGCTCTATCACCCTGTTCTCTAGCTCTCTCATGGTAGATCTATTTATCTGTCTCTTTCTAATAATATATCTTTACCCCTCCAAGTGTGTCAGATCTTGCCAAAGGGAGTGGTGTCTGTCATTGGTCCTGCCTCTAGTCCTGCTTCTGGATCCACTGTCAGTCATATATGTGGGGAAAAAGAGGTGAGAATGAAAGGAAGTGCATTTGCCTATGTGTCTGTGAGAGCATTTCCTGAGATGATAAATTTACACTGCTCCTCAGCCACAGGCCATTATTTCCTGTGTGCCTTTGCTTTGCTGCTTGAAAAGCATCTCTCCCCCTGACCTAATTTCCCATATTTTTTCTCTCTTTTCTTCCTTCCTTACGGTTCGAGAGAATGATATATCAGCCAGGATGATTAATTGGCCGATATCTGGCCGTTTTGGTGCCCACTCAGCCAATTAACAATTTAATTCTACGTAAAATGAACGTGCTTTTCATTTCAGTCTTTTTTTTTTTGCACACCTAATTTACTATAATTAAATTGTATTATATTTATACACAGTGAGGTCTGCATTTTTACTCCCAGATTTTCAACATAAATTTAAACCTGGAAATTACTAAATAAAAAATAAATTAAACAATGCTGGCTTTTTAGATAGCGCTTTAAAGAAAAAGGAGACGATCATCCAATAGTTTATCTGTCGTTCTATCGCTCTGTCTGTAAGGCCAATAAACACCAAGGCTTTTAAAAACAGTCAAAGCTTAAGAAAGTTTAAAAAATAATGTTAATTTTGCACGTCAACATTCTGACTGCTCAATTCAAATGTTGGAACTGGAAGGCATTCTCAGTTCAATTCTGAATAGCGCACAACCATGTTTTCATTGCTGCAAGTGAAATGCCATAGAAATAACTATTTGTAACATTATAATTGTTTACTTAAAAAATAATTAAATAATTACTTTCAAAAACATATTTCAATATGAAAATATAAATTTTTGATAGTATACAGTATATACACACCTCGCCATTATCATTCAAAAGTTTGGGGTCTGTAATTTCTAGAGCCAGAACGATATATCGGCAGGCCGATATTAGGCATTTTCAAAACTATCGGTATCGGCAGTTATAATGGCAGATAAATGAATATTTCAAAAATAAAATAAAAACGGACGGAACACGCTTGAACCATGTCATGAGAGTTGGAGTTGTATAGTTTGTCCACCAGAGGGCACTCTACACCATTCCTGATTGCAACACTCGTTGAGTTGGTCAAGATGCATACATTGCTTGAATAACAATTAAAAGAACATCCTCATCAGTTCTCTTAACTCAAATAACCATGACAAAATTTGTCCATGACACCATGTCCAGTTTTGCTGCTGTTCAGACTGATCTCATGAAGTAGCGCGTGTATGACACGCCAATTCGTATTTCCATTTTTGGCGTGCTATCAAGACGCATAATCGCCTTTCAGCGTGTTTATGAACGCCGTTGACTTAACGTTATATAAATATATGACTTACCTCAACCCCATCCCTAAACATAACCGTCACTGGGGTTAATGGCATTTATGCCTGGAGATTTGACTGCGTGTACAGACACGCGGAATGACGCGGACGTTAATGGCGTAGACATATACGCATACACGCGGATGCACGCGGATAGCTCAAAATGCGTAGAGATAACACGCCACCTGACTCGAAAGTGGCGTATATGTTTACGCAAAAGTCATGATGTCATGTTGCGCTGTTAAATAAGCCAAGAGTGAAGCGGAATTAGCTAGTAATAGTTACGTTACGTTGTTACAGTGTAGTTGACTGACTGTCCTTTTAACTTTTGACAATGTGACTGAAATATTTCTTTAATACCGTGTGACAGTTATAGCAATGAGACGCATCATCTCTCCTTGGCCTGTTACATTGAAAATGCATGTTTTACAATTTGCAGTATGACGTTATCCATTGCTAAACTATGGCTCATCATAGACTAGCTAACCATAAAGCTAGCTAATGCCACTATCATCAGTATGTTCTGTTGTGACAATTAAAGAAACACGTTTCTTTTTAAAATGCATTATCATTTTATTTTAGTTAAAACTCTTAAATAACTACAAATAACTAATGTTAGAGAAATCTGTAAATGTTTTGTTGCGCATTTCTGAAAAAATAAATAAATCAAAATATCGGCCGATATATCGGAATATTGGATTTTAAAACCAAAAAAAATATTTGTATCGGTATCAGCCTTCAAAATCCTTTATCGGTCGGGCTCTATTTCTTTAAAAAAAATTGAAACCTGTCTCTTGCTCAACAAAGCTGCATTAATCTGATCTTAAAATAAAATCTATTTTATTATATTAATATTTCTATTTTTATATATTAAAGTAGAATTTTCAGCAGGAATTACTACCTTTAGAAATCATTTTAATATGCTTATTCATGCGCAAGATTCATGTGTTATTATTAATCTTAATTTCTTTGATGAATAAAAAATTCTGCACATTTTATCTCTCTCTTATCTAACATGCTCAGTTTGCTGCATTCATGGCATGTCGTAATTACCGTAATTAAAAACCTGTAACTTTCTACTCTGAGCTACTCATCCTCAGAATTATGTGTTTCAATAGCAACACTACCAACGGCAGAGTAAATCTGCAACGGTCAGGTGGTTAAAAAGGTCACATGATACTAGTCTGAGCACTCAGAAAAGTTGTAATTATAAGTTCTACGAGGACGTGAACACTTTTTTTACAAGTGGGAATCTCATAATTACGGTAATTCCAACAACAAGGCATGAATACACCTTTACCTCATGGAGCTCCTTTTTAACGAGCTACTGATTTGAATCAGGTGTGATAAATAAGGGAGACATAAAAAAGTGGCTGTGCAGTGCTGTGGGTACCCAGGAGCAAGATTGAAACCCGCTGCTTTAGATATTGGCATCAGCCAATGAAAAACCCACGTGCGTCATTCTATTGCGATCTATTCTTCTAAATTGTCCTCTTTATTTTGTCTGTTCCTCCCAGATCCCTCACATCAAGATCGGTCCAGAGGAGACTCCACGCTTGCCATATTTGCGCTTTGCCTCAGTGACGCTGTATCCTAGCAACGAGGACTTAAGCTTGGCGATCGGTGCCATTCTGCACTCTTTCAGTTACCCAACGGCCAGTCTGATCTGTGCCAAAGCAGAGTGTGAGTCTGCAGGGAAAGTGTTGGCACTATCAACTTTGAACGGACCATTCTTTCATTCAGCTGTCATACTGTAGATCAAGCTGAATTGTTCATTGTTCACATGACATTTTCCCATTCATTTCACAGTGTCCGATTCACAATGCAATTCATTTTATTTTTAACATAAGTGCATTATCCTTAGGCTTGGTGCCTATTATATTAAGTTATTAACGACGATGCCACTGCTTCAGAAAATTACTTATTTTAAAAACGATTAAACCTTTGGATTTGGATGGATTTTTTTTTTCTGCATGATGATGATAATGACATTATATTCAGTAAAAATGTTGGTCGCTGTGGCCCAGCAGTTAGCACACATGCATTTGTTCATACACTAGTGCAAGTTCAAATCTGGATTTAACATTTTAACATTAACAATAGAACTCGTTCTATATCCCACTTTCCCTAAAAAGGAGCATTAAGGCCAAAGTAACATTATAAAACTGTACGGTACAATGCGGCTAAAGGAGCACGGGGGTAAACGGAGCATTTCACTTTATTCTCTTTTAAACCAGATGGCAAAGAAATTCACCTCAGCACTTTTCTAAACAACCGCATTTTTGATGATGCACATGGAAATTTGGCTGATCCCTGACGAGATCGCCGACAGCAACACAAAGCTGATTCTGCGCTAATTTGATCTAACGTTTACTGTTTTTTTAAACGCTGTAGATTTATGTAGCCAATGAGAATTGACAAAAATTCATGTCTATATTTTGAGACAAAGGACTTGTTAATGATTTTCAGTTTTGCTCAAAGTAATTAAAGCAACAGTTTTTCAAAAAACTTCATGAACCCGATACGTCATCAGTCGTAGACGATGGCTTTGACGTTATGGAAACGACGAGTCTTTACAGGATTTCTCCATGACAACGACTGACAATGAGTGCCACTCTGGGGAAACATGATAATTATAGCGTTCCTTCTTAATTTAAATGATTATATTATCATTATAATGTAAATAAAGTGCATGGTGGTGTCATCTGGGGCTAAATTTGCGAAGCTGGTGATTCGCGATGGATTCTGGGAACTTTCTCGTAGCCCTCTGTTCAGAGTATGCCTCTGAAAAATCTCAGTTTTGAGGGTTATGTAGCCCGTACCCCTCTAACGCAACAAGAATCGGGACACCCTACCCCTAGACGTGAACGCACGAAACTAGTTTAATAGATGAATAAAAAAAAATGTTGATCAAAGAAGAGTTTTAAGGGAAAAAGTTATTGACTACAAATTTGTCTTAGGGTGTGCCTTTAGCCCAGTTGTACCAAATTTTACCTTATTTAATACATTTAACTGTTAATATAGGCACAATTGGAGGCACTTCACTTTTTTCTCTCAATTAAAAAAGCACACCTGGCTTAGATGATCTTCACCGATACGATACATAAAAAAATACTGCACCAATGTTTTTCGTCCACATTGACTCTGATGTGAAGGATATATCGCATTGAGAATTGTGTAATCATGCAGACAAACAAGAAGCAATCTTAATTGTATTTGTTACTTTGTTGACTAAGCTTAATGAGTAGTTGGTGCACTAGAGTGAAACGCATGTGAGCTGTTACGATGCTGACAGCAAGTTGATCTCTCGTAACTTGCTGATGCGAGCAGCTCTCACTTGATTGGTATGGTCTGGGTAATGGTGCTACAGTTTAATGCACCACTGTTTACTGCTGTTTGCATATCTGCGCTTATCCATATAATTACTGCAGCCTGTGCTCCTGTTCAAGTGTTTGTCTGTTTAAGATGCAGGCAGTTGTGTTTGAGTTCTCGGTGCACATTAGCATGCATGGATGTGCTCATCTACACATTGGTTTCTTACTTATGTGGATGTTTGAGAGAGCATGGATACCACCAGAGAGGTGGGGTAATTTCTGTTTGTTTTTGTGAGAAAGCACTCTTTCATCACTTCACCCTGCTGTTATCGTTAGCTGTGCATCTTGTTGACTGCAGTCCAAAATCGATGAATTCACCATATAGATTTTGTGGTGGCTTAGAGCACAAATTTATGTACATACAGAATTAACTTTATTGGCTCTCAAAGTCACTCAATTCGATAGTCACTGACTTTAATATGGAGGAGTAGGGTGGAAAGTAAGGTGAAGTTTACTGCAACTGACAGTTTATGAAAGTTGTTAAAAGGTTTTAGATGGTTACATGACATTTATTTTAATGTGTCGACGTAACATTTACTGTATGAACGGCCATTCTGATATACTAAGAATTTTAAGATTTGTGAGAGCTTTACTTATTTTTCACAAATATATGTATTGTTTTATATTGTGAATATTGAGAATGTTTCCATAAAATGCCTATTTTTGGGGTTTTATGCTCTTCCCTCAGGCCTGCTGCGATTGGAGGAGCTTGTGCGTCACTTCCTCATATCCCGGGAAACACTCTCAGTCAGAATGCTCGATGAAAACTTGGACCCCACCCCCCTGCTCAAGGAAATCCGTGATGACAAAGTTGCGACTATTATCATTGATGCTAATGCATCAGTGTCTATACTAATATTAAAGAAGGTATGTGTGCTTATTTAGGGGATCCATAAATCAGAGGCCACTAATGCAAATGACTGCATTTTACTTTTTCCTATGAATTAATTTAAGAATATTTGACTTTTTCCGGTACTTTTTTAAACACAATTTGATGAGTTGCATTGAAAAATGTTATTTCATATTTACAGTATAATATACAGTATATATATTTATTTACTATCTTATATCATCATTTTTATCTTTGTTTTACATTTTTTGAAATACTTTTAAATGGGATTTTTCAGACAGACAGACAGACATAAAAACCTGACATGACTCAACTGTGCAAATGTAGAATGATTATCTCTTGCTGTTTCTCCCTTTCTCTAGGCCTCAGAATTAGGCATGACATCAGCCTTCTACAAGTATATTCTCACCACAATGGTAAACAACCCCCTTTTTTCACTTTGAACAATGACACACTACCCTTTCTCCCCTCAACCCACTTTCATTCACTAACAGCGATGGCAGGCCTGGCCATTGACCAGCTCATCACAGATTCAAAGCGCATCAATGCCGTTTATCATTATCATCGTGGATGACGTGGATTATGTCCTTGTTTTGAGGTTGCATATGCTTCTGTTGTGAGCTTAGGATTTTAATACCACTGTTACAAGTTAAAGGCCTGGTTTCACAGACAGGGCTTAGATTAAGCCAGGATTAGGCCTGAGTAGCTTTAGTATCTTGTATAAACGTGCCTTAGAAAAAAAAAACGTCCTCATGTGAATCTTGAGACCAATCAATGGCACTGACATATGTTAAGATATGTCGGTGCAAGTTGCTTTCAGTTAAGACAGCTCAAACATGCATTTTAGTCTGGTACTAGGCCTAAGGAAAGTAAGGAAGGCTAAAGCATTTGACCTTGAGAGGCAAATTGAATTGTGGAAGATAAAATTTGAGACTGTCCAAACATGGCCTTATTAAATGGCAATTTTTTTAAATATGTAAAGCGTTTAGAGATTACATTTCTTAACATGCATTTTTTATGGAATTTTTATTAATTTTCGTATTTGGGAGGAAGCCAGAGCTCACTCTGCAGTAGGGCAGCAATTTTGCTAAGAGCATGCCAACTGAAAAAGGTCTAAATATACATGAATAGGAGTGTGAAAGAAGATGAGTTGAATTATATTTTAGTGTGATTTTTTTTTTTTTTTATTTAGTGTTGTCATTGGCATTATAAATATTTTTTGATGTACATAAAGTGTAATTCAATTAAATTCAGTCTTTTTCTTCTCTTTATAAAACAGCTCATTTGAACATTCAAGTTTAAACTTAGCCTTTTATTAATTTGACTTTGGCAAGCTTTTCCCCAAGATCAGGCACAAATACATACAACCACAAGGCAATATTGCAGTTGTATGCTATTTGATGGCTGTTGATTCTGAATGATGGCTTTCAGTAAATAAAATTAAGTCTGTGTCTTGAATAAGGTCATCATCTTGTCAGATTCACATTGTCTGCAATCTAATTGAGAGCAAACAAAAGATGAAAGACACTTGCCATTATCAACCCCGACTGTCGTACCTTCATTTATAAACTGTATGAAGAGCATCCTCAAAAGGAATGTAATGCTGCTGAAGGAGTCAATGACAGAAGAACATTTTACAGCTTCACTTGAAATGCACCTGACTTGAGGAGATTTTAGAGTCTTGCAGAAGAAGCTTTTTATGAAAAACTGAATGGGTGTCTTCATAGGCGGAGTTAGATCCTCCTTCAGCTGCCATATAGAAAGCAAATGTTTTGTGACAAATAATCTAAAATCAATTGATGGATCCACCAAGAGCTTTCCCACTGCATCTACACAGCTATAGAAAACATATTTGTTGACTGTGCCATTGACAAACATACTGTACCTCTTGGGATTATCCACTTGCCCGTAGGTAAGAAAGCAAAAAAAGGCTGATTGATTTGGTAGACAAGGTGAAAGCCATGATATTTGAGCCAATGTTTTCCTTGAACGTTCCCAAAGGGCACCAATTATGTCGAGAGGAATTCTAGCTGGGTTGAATATTGCCTTCAGTAAATTACTATTTATTTATGGATGAGGGTTTTACCAAACCCATAGGGAGCAGCATTTATTTGCAAAAAACTGGCCAAGAAAATTTTCTGAATAATATGTAAATGAAGAGTTCAGATGCAAAAGCCTCTAAATGCCATTTGAAATTTTCTTCTAAAATGACCATTTTTGTCAAGCTTGTATATTTAAGTTCAGTAATTTCACTTAAATGACAATTAATAGGTATTCTTCATTGCCATTTAAGTGAAATCACTGAACTTAAATATACAAGTTTGATAAAAATGATCATTTTAGAAGAAAATTTCAAATGGCACTTAGAGGCTTTTGCATCTGAACTCTTCAAATATTGCATTTGAGTTAAGCACAAATTTACCAAATCAAGATAAATGTGTGATGTTGTGTTGCCTCCATTGTAATATAGTTTTATACTGTAAAATGATTTCATTCATGGTCCTTTCATTAAGATTTTCTTTTAAATGAGTTCATCAGTATTTAAATTACTGCAGTTAAATAAAGTGGTTTGATTTTACTTAATATGTATTAATCCTATCTTTAAGTTTGCAATCTCATTCTTTTTGTAAAATTGTCCATTTAAAACATTTATACCGTTAAAGCAGTGCTATTGCCAACAACAAGGTGCTAGAGTGAATTCTGTCAGACTCACCTTTGCTCACGGTACAGCGGCCAAACTGGGCTGCCTTGCGGTACTTTTTAACTGTTAGATAGAAAAAACAGTTTATACTAAATACTGTGTGGAAAAAATTAGTATTTTGCATGTTTAAATGTTAAATACTTGCTTTCGCGGCGCCGTTGAACATCGCGTCAGTTTTCAATAACGAGGAAAAGAACACGCGCAAGCGCATTAAATGCCATCGCGTGTGTACTCTACATACTAGGTAACTCTACTGTCAGTGCAACGGCAGCGATGTTTAGCGATGTTCAGTTAAATACCAAGAATTGGCGTTTTTCCTAGATGGCATTTAAAGTAATTAAAGTGTTTTTTAGCGCCAAAACCACAATAGTGTATATACCCACGGTACTTTTTAAGTAAATAGTTCTCTATCGATCTCTCTCTTTCAGGATTTCCCTTTGTTGAGGTTGGATGACGTGGTAGATGATCAGTCAAATATCGTTGGTTTCTCCATGTTGAACAGCAGTCATCCGTTTTACCTGGAGTTCATTAGAAGTCTAAACCTGTCATGGAGGGAAGGTTGTGACCTCAGTCCCTACCCTGGTCCAGCGGTGAGCTTACAATCTTGCCATTGCTAATAGGCTACATGAGAAACATTACAACTCACAAATTACTCAGTGTCAGGGACAATTCAATTCATCCTGTCCCGGTAAAGGGTGCAGACTTACCTCTTACTTTAAGTGTCAGATGTTATTATTTCGTTAACAAATTTTAAATCAAACAATTAAAACCACATCTGTCAGGTTGTGTTAGCATCTAAAAAATGCTTTTTAGATTCCAAGAGCTTATTTCAATAACTTGATTGACATTTCACTGCATTATATTTTGCTGAGAGTTGCTTAAATGGAAAAAGAAAAGTAAACCGTAGTAATACTAACTCAATGGAGTAATGAGATGTTATTTCTGCCAGAAGGTTTTTTCAAATGTGTCCATATAGGATGTGCACCACACAACATAATTTAGGAGGAAGACAGTTGCTGTAGGGCCCCTAACAGACGTGAAGTCTCCTCGTCCCCCTAATGACCTCATTTGCTGTCTTTCTCAATTCTACATTCCTTTATTCTCTTTTTCCTTCTTCTTTCTCCACCATCTTTCTGTCTTGGCTTCGGCATATCTCTCTTCTCGTTTCATTCATGTTCTCTCTCCACCTACAGTTGTCATCTGCGCTGATGTTCGATGCAGTTCATGTGGTGGTCGGAGCAGTGCGAGAGCTGAACCGCAGTCAGGAGATCGGAGTGAAGCCTCTGAGTTGCACTTCCTCGCTCATCTGGCAGCACGGCACCAGTCTCATGAACTACCTGCGCATGGTACTTGTCACCCCGTTGGCAGCCATTTTCCGATGCATTTGATGACTTTAGTGATTAGTCTTTACGGCTGTTGCTACTGTCTTCTCTGATGAGCTGTGGAAGCCCGTTTTAATCTGGTTGATGTTGATGGGAATCTGCATGCAACTGCTTATTGGCTTTAATAGGCTAACATGAAATTTAAATTGAGCATACATTCTCAACATATGTTCTGGTCACGTTGTGCACAATTCATCAGTGCATGTTATTCCATGGAACAACGTCTTTGTAATCTTTCCCCTTGGCGCCGTCGATATATACAAGACACAAACAGTTTGTGATGGATGCTTTTCAATTTACCCCGCAATACATTTAAACCTTGACTAATGCATTATTGTTCATTGAGTATCGTTGTGCATCATTTAACACCATCAAGAAACATTCACCACTGTTGTAGCACTGTGAAACTACGCAGAAAACAGCAATAACAGTAAATGAACCAAATTAAATGTTAACATCTAAATATATACTCTACCAGTCAAAAGTTTTAGATCAGTAAGATTTTAAATGCTTTTATATGAAGTCTCTTCTGCTCACCAAGGCTGCTTTATTTGATGAAATAAAAAAATGGCAAACAGTAATATTGTGAAATATTATGACAATTTAAAATGACTGTTTTCTATTTTAATATATTTTAAAATGTAATTTGAAAGCTGAATTTTCAACAACATTACTGTTGCTGATTACACATCAGGTTTCAGTGTCATAAATTATAACACTGATAAAAAAAAAATCAATGTTGAAAACAGTCATGTACCATTTTTCCCCCCAAAATTCTTTGATGAATAGAAACAGCATTTATTTAAAACATTATAAATGTCTTTACTGTAACTTTTGATCAATTTAACTCATCCTTGATGAATAAAAGTATTTTCAAATTTCTTTCCCCCAAAAATAAAAAATAAAAAATTCTTACTGACCCCAAACTTTTGAATGGTAGTGATTAATGTTACAAAAGCTTTCCATTTCAGATCAATTCTGTTCTCCTGAAATAAATCCTGAAATAAAAATGTTAAAAAAAAAACTGTTTTCAACATGGATAATAATCATAAATGTTTCTTGAGCATCATATTATAATAATTTCAGGACACTCAAGACTGGAGTAATGATGCTGTAAATTCAGCTTTGATCACAGGAATAAATTACACTTCACTATATATTCACATAGAAAACCGCTGTTTTAAATTGTAATAATATTTCACAATATTACTGGTTTTTTTTTTTTTTGTATTTTTTTATCAAATAATTGCAACCTTGGTAAGCAGAAGAGACTTCGATCTAAAACTTTTGACCGGTAGTGTATATATATAAAATAGTTATAAATAATTGAACGAAATAAAAAAAAAAATGCTAGATGAGACAAAATGCTAATAAAATTATTATAAAAAATCTTTTTAAATAATGGCATTATTTAACTCAATTCACAGACCCGTGGACTAACTCCAAAACGTAATTTAATTTGTGCCAGAAATAAATGTCAATTTCCAAATAAATGTATTTTTTGTCCCCACGAGTAGCTTGAGTCCTATCTTGAGTAATGTGCCGCCCTTGTCACAGTGACCGGGACAATATTCCTGGTTGTCCCCTCCATCGTCGGCCATCAGGTGACCAACGCAGTATGACTTTTACGTCCTCTGTTATGATTATACTCAGCCATAGTAATTTTACAACAGCCATTAGTTTCAGAGCAATTATAACTGTGCCCTTAACACCAGATGTCCATTGTTTATTACAACCTGTCTGTATTTTATCATTTTAATGCAGCTATTAGAAACTGTGAGATCCCAGATTATGTTTGTGTTGTCTAGGCACAAGTGCGTTCTTTCATTGATTGTGTCCCTCCATCTGTTTTGCAGTTTGCCCATCACTCCATCATTACACCACTCCATTTGGCACCATCTCCACACCTCCTCTCGTCCTCCGTTATCGGTTTGTCTCCATAACTCCGAGTGTTTACTTCACTTGCCAATAATGATGAAAACAGTCATTATTTTGCAATTGCAATTGGTGGAGCAGAAATGACACTTCACCTTAACTTTCTTAATCATCTCAAAGTTTTCCTCTCACTTGTCCTCTGGCTGTCTCTATGTCTTTCTCCGCCTGTGCCTTAATATTGTAGGTCAGAATGAATGCTATTCGTCATTCTTGTTTGTTACCCCACCTTGGTTTAAATTTTCCCTCTCTCTTTTTCATTTTAGGTAGAGTACGATGGCCTAACAGGCCGCGTGGAGTTTAACAGCAAAGGCCAGAGGACCAATTACACGCTGCGTATTCTTGAGAAATTCAGGGGGGGTCACAAAGAGGTAATGCACACACACACAAACAAACACACTCTCATGAACACTAGCTTGGGATTTTATCCGGAATCACGAGAGAGGTTGTGAGGTCTAATGAATGGGTGGTAGCTGGAGTAATCACCACTTCACTCCTCTCTTATTGATCATAGTATTGATCCCTCGCTTCATGCTCTTTTATCTCTCCTTCATCCCCTCGTCTTATTCACTGAACTTGTTTATTCCTGCCTGTTTCCCCCTTGCGAGATCAAACATGTTTTCAAAATGGTCACAAATGATTTTACGTTATTTAGTTCATTTAACACAGATTTGTTCATGCAAGTAGTTCTAACTGAGCATAATATTTGTAGTAAAGCATCTTCAATTCAATTCAATTCAATCTTTATTTATATAGCGCCATTACACACACCCAGAAAGGTGCACAAAGCGCTTTCCATAAAATACATAAAAAGACAACAGTATATAAAAATTGCAAGATAAAGCTAATCAAAGCAGTTAACAAAATAACTAACACAACCACTAAAAACAAAACAAATGATTACGTGTTGAAAGCCTTCCTGAAAAAATCTTCTAAAAACCTTTTTACTTTACATATGCAGATTGGTGTCTGGTACTCCAATAACACGTTGGCTATGAACTCCACATCTTTGGACATCAACGCATCTGTGACGTTAGCCAATAAGACACTCACAGTCACCACAATACTGGTAAGAACTGCTCCAGTTATGATGCTCAGGGCTTTGTGGGTTTGGCAGCACGTGAATAAAGGACTTTTGAGCATTTAAGACCACAGTATGTAAGAGATAATTGGGCTTTTACAGATTTGGCACTCACTGGTAAGCATTGCAGATTCAAGTCTGCTTAAACAGCACTTCTTCAAAACCAATGCGTCTTAAATATTATTATGGACGCTACAAATATTTGTAAGATTCAAAGTAGAGAAAAAGCCTTGCTTGCTTACACAGAGCTTATACAGTATAATAATGTTGTTTTATTGAGTTTGTAATTGTAAGAAGAGTAATTTGACGATCACAAAACGTAAATTGATTCAGACTAGACTCATTTTTGCCATCAGAAATTGGCCTAACCGTTTAAGCAAAACTGCATTCCTCTGTTGAATGCAATTATGAATGTAATTTTAAAGTCAACATCTAATCAATATGGATTTAATTCATTTTCTAAATGCACTTTCCCACTCTTACTGTGGAAAAATCATCAGTGCACATTGTTGTAGCTCACACTATAGGACGATTTCACCCAAGATGATGTTAAAAAGCATTGTTTTTAGCAACAATTTATACACTAGCTTCGATTCTGGTGTAGAATGCCTAGTCTCATGTTTCAGTCAATTTTAGATTGATAACATAAAGAACAGTGCTACATTTTTTTTTTCATTGAATGTAACGATACCCTCATGTCACGATTCGATACATATCACGATACTGAATATCACGATACGATATTATTGCGATACACTAAGAAATATGATAAAAGGTTAACAAAAAATGCACTGTTGATTAAAATTCTCACTTTGGTATTACATTGTGGGTTTAAATGAATAGGTTTGGACTTGGTGCTGGTAACCCAAGGACAATAGAGACACTAGAATAACAATATTTGAAATTACATAATTATTTTAGACAAATATGCTTGATCTTGACTAGATACATTTAAAATAAATATAGGCCACTTTTTACTGGTAACATAAGATATTTGGCATTATCAGGACCCACAAATATTCCCCCATTGCATTATTATACATTATAATCAACATTATATATAGTATTTTAATGTAGTACTGACACTAACACTCTGAAAACTTTTTCTCACAGTCATTTTTATTTTGGGGGAACTATCCACGATACATATTGTTGCATTTTTGTACTGTGATATATTGTGGCACGATATTTTGTTACACCCCTAGTGTACACTGTCCCATTATGAAAGTATAGTGTATAAAAAGTATATACTAGTTGCAATATTTTAGATAGCACCTTCATTGTTTGCATCATTATTCATTCCAATTTTGTACAATTTTGCTTCCAGGCAACAAACATGTTTAAGCAAATTCTTAATACATAAAAATGTATCTGACTCTAATTGTTGTAAAATAACTTACTGCTTGTATTTGTTCTGTAAAAAAAAAAGTTAAAATTCAAAACAACCACAAGTCATCCCTTCATTATTGATAATCTTATTTGCATCATGTGCTTGCATAAATAAGAAAATAGGTTTGCTATCCACAGGCCACATTTTACTGATGTAATACATTCAAAATGTATAATACATTCAAACCTAGGAGCAGCAGCCAAAAAGTACTTTCACATGTCAAGGCTAAGGAATCACCGTTTCACTGGATTTTACTGCCATTTCATGGCTAAGCACCAATCAAAATGCCACTTCCACTGTAAGGCTATTGACTTTCATTGAGTTTATGGTGCTTCACTGTATGGAAATTTAGAGTGGAATATTACAGCGTTAAATGTTACCTTCATCCTGTTTTATAGGAGAATCCATACGTGATGCGCAAGGCAAACTACCAGAATCTTCATGGTAATGATCAGTATGAGGGATTCTGTGTGGATATGTTACGGGAGCTGGCAGACATACTGAAGTTTTCGTTCCGGATCAAGCTGGTGGATGACGGCCTGTATGGAGCTCCGGAACCAAATGGGTCATGGACTGGCATGGTGGGGGAATTAATCAACAGGGTATGCATGCCGGCACACACGTTCATAATTAAGCTCTGTGAATACGTTGTGTGAATTCAGAGACGCTTTCTAGTCTCACTGAACCTCAACGAAACAATTGGGCTTTTACAGTTAGTGCAATTGTTTGTTTATTCATCAGAACATTATTAAAACATCATGTTCAATATAACATTTAATCATTTTTAATAATTTTGTTCACCTGATAATTGATTTTAGATCTTCTACAGCATTGTCTTTGAAAATGTGCTTTTGTTAAAATTTGTAAGAGCTTTTATATGCTCGCATGTTTGTATGGAGCAGGATTTCAACACTGGACCACTGATGTTTCCATTAGAGTAACGATTACAGATATTAGCACTATTCACACTAATGCTAAAAATAATGGCGGCGGTAATAAGAACGGTAATGTCATTCTATTAACCCCAGTGTGGGGGGGTCTCGGCACAGTCCTTTTGAACACACACACACACACACACACACACACACACACACATACTAATCAGTGTCTAATTATTCCGTGACACTATACCATTACAGCTGCTGAAGCCAGTCACATGTTGGCGTATTGTGTATGTAAACTGTGTGCGCACACATCTTTCTCTCCATGGACCCACACTATAGCTCTTCCTTGACACCAGCGTTTGATGACACCCTTTGAATGTGGTTTAGAAAGCTATCTCTCAGTAATCAATTAGGGAGTAATTAAAGCAGATTGAGAGATATCTGGGGTACACTTGGGTTTTTTGAGAAGAATGAACTGCTATTGATCACCCCTAGTGTTAGGGAAATTACTTTGCCTGACAAACTACTCGTGATTTTAAATCGTTCAGGTTGACTATTATCTTTTAATAGAATGTAGCTAATTACATTAAAGCTTTTTTTGGTCAATAACAATGTTTTTTATAGGGGCATTACATGGATTTTTAAAAAATATGTATATTTTTGATATGTTCCTTGAGGTTCACTTATAATGTTTATTAAGTTTTTGTTGCAAACACACACACAAACATCTATATATATATGAAGAGTTCAGATGCAAAAGCCTCTAAGTGCCATTTGAAATTTTCTTCTAGAATTATGATTTTATCAAGCTTGTATATTTAAGTTCAGTGATTTCACTTAAATGGCAATCATGATTACCTATTAATTGTTATTTAAGTGAAATTACTGAACTTAAATATACAAGTTTGATAAAAATCATCATTCAAGAAGAAAATTTCAAATGGCATTTAGAGGCTTTTGCATCTGAACTCTTCATATATATATAATTTGTCAAAAAATATATCAGTCATATATCTTTGTCAAAAAAGATCAGTTTTTAAAGGGATACTTTTTTTGGAAATAGGCTCATTTTACAACTCCCTCACAGTTAAACAGTTGAGTTTTATCGTTTTCAAATCTATTCAGGCGATTTTCTGATATTTAGAAGAATATCAGTAACCAGACAGTTTCTGGTCTCATTGACTACCATAATATATATTTTTTCCTACTATGGAAGTCAATGAGACCAGAAACTGTCTAGTTACTGATAGTCTTCTAAATATCAGAAAATCGTCTGAATGGATTCGAAAACGGTAAAACTCAAAACTAAAATGAGCCTATTTCCAAAAAAAGTGGAGTATCCCTTTAAGGGGCGGCTCCTTTAAGGCTTGTCAGTAATAGGCCACCGTTATGATTGGCTAACGTCATTGCATACTGTAGGAAAAAGTGTCAACGCCCACTTGCTATTGCACATTTTGAAAACATCAACTATATGAAACCATAATTTACAGACAATGCATTATAAAATAATTTACTCACAGTTTTGGGTGCAATACAATTTGCTGCTTCATCTTTGCAAACTCTCCATTACAAGGGGGCCTTATTTACAAAATAAAATCCACTTGTATCCAACGCTATGATTCTTGAGTCTGTACAGATACGTTCTTTCACTTTTCCATTTGTCCTGTTGTCGACAGACTCAAGTGCGTGGAGTACGTCAGAAACTGAATTTGCATCTGAATACTATATCCAGTGTAGACAGCGTAAGTGATTATAATGGTGTAACGAGGTATGTTGATAAGGAGGAGGCGGGAACCTGCGAACATTTAACACTTTTATAAATAAACACAAAATGTAACATAAATAGTCCAGGCCTAGTCCTCTCTCATCCTTCACTGTCGTCGCTCATTAATCACGTCACTCGCCCTGCTTGCCACAAATGGGCTCCATTAACTTTTGACGCAACGCTCACATCAATTGTAGGCAAATGTCAGCCTTTAAAGGACAAGTTTGGTATTTTACACTTAAAGCCCTGTTTTAAGGTTGTTTCTAATGAAATGGAATGGTTAAGATTCAAATTTGGACACATTCAAGTTCAGTAATTTCACTTAAATGACAATTAATAGGTAATCTTCATTGCAATTTAAGTGAAATTACTGAACTTAAATATACAAGCTTGATAAAAATGATCATTCTAGAAGAAAATTTCAAATGGCACTTAGAGGCTTTTGCATCTGAACTCTTCATATATATATATATATATATATATATATATATACAAAAAACAGTAATATTGTGAAATATTATTACAATTTAAAACAGCAGTTTTCTATGTGAATATATAGTGACGTGTAATTTATTCCTGTGATCAAAGCTGAATTTACAGCATCATTACTCCAGTCTTCAGTGTCACATGATCCTACACTTTTTGAGCATAAAATCAGCATATTAGAATGATTTCTGAAGGATCATGTGACACTGAAAACTGATGTGTGTAATCAGCAACAGTAATGATGTTGAAAATTCAGCTTTCAAATTACATTTTAAAATATATTAAAATATAGAAAACAGTCATTTTAAATTGTCATAATATTTCACAATATTACTGTTTGTCATTTTTTTTTCTCCATCAAATTTGTCCCGACTTCATTTAAAAACATAAAAATCTTAGAAAAATATAAAAAACATAAAAAATATTTAAACATCAATTTTTAAATAAATTTTTTAAACATACATTTTTAGAAAAAAATTAAAAACATAAAAAAAAACATAAAAAATCTTAGAAAAACATAAAAAAAAATAATCTTTTGACCGGTAGTGTATGTGTGTGTGTATGTGTGTATATATATATATATATATATATATATATATATATATATCATCAAATAATATATCAATTGTGTATATAATATGCTGAGCTGTCGCACTACTGAAAAATGTAGTTAAGTTTAGTATTCACTACTGTTACAATAGTTTCTCCCTTGTACTGTCACCGCCTCCTCCCTCGAGGAGGAAGGAAAATAGAAAGGCCAAAATAATGCCACAGCCACACCGAGGTTTTTAATTCATTATCGCTCATTTCCTTCCTCAGGAACTTTCACTCTTGTACTTTTATATTCTCTTTCTCATTTTTCATTCCGTATCCCTCGTTCCCTTCATCTCACAAGGGCACAATATTCCCTGTGTCCTCGCTGGAAGCCTTCTCTTTACCAACTCTCTGTTCTTAACCATTCCTCATCACCCCTTCCCCTACAAGTATCTGTTTTTTCTCTCAAGGACCGTCACTCTATTTCTCCCCCTCTCTCTTTTCTGTTTTCCACCCTTTAGCCCTGTTTTTCTATCTCTCTCCATCCCTGTAATAAATAAATCTCTTTCCTTTTACCCAAGGACTCTCATATCAAATTCTTCCATCAACCCAGTGCACTTACATCCCTTTATTATCCGTCCATTCATCCATCCGGCTGTCCAGCCTTGACTTTCCCTTTTTCAATTCTGTGCTGATTCTCCTTGTGCTAAATATCCTTTTTTATTTCCTCTGCCACTCCTTGTCTTTATCAGTGAACCTCAGATAATGTCAAACTCTTTTCTTCTCGAGTGCTTCTTGAAACCAAGGTCAATGTTTAGCAGGGAACCACACGTGGAGCACAAACAACATGCAACGAAATGGCATGCCTGGTGCGAGTCAAACACTGTACAACTGACACAGCGGTATGCTAATGAGCACTTAGAAACATCACTGAATTATCACCACAACCGAGGGGGATGGTAGTTAGTGTCTGTCTGTAAAGCTCCTACAAGTTACAGTATGTTCTAGAAACCTTGTAGCTATACCAGAAGACGATTCAAGGTCTTTTTTGTGCATTAGGTCTTCAAAAATTTCAGCAGTGACTGAACTTGTCTGTTTGAGATCATCTACACTGTATTTGCTGTTCATTGTCTCCATAAACTCCCTGTTTTTGGAAATCATGAGTGACTCATACCTCTTGATTGTAATTTTGTTGCATCGATCTAATTCTCTCTCTTTCTCTATTTATTGCAGAAAGCAGATCTGGCAGTGGCTGGATTTACAATCACATCAGAGCGGGAAAAGGTCATAGATTTCTCCAAACCTTTCATGAACCTTGGAATCAGTATCCTGTACCGCGTCCACATAGTAAGATGCGTTTATAATGCACTGAATTGAGATTGTATATATCAGAAATTGTGTTACTATCATTGACTGTAATATTCTAGCGTGAATCTCACAAAACCTTTCAAAAATATGTATAATGATAATAATGCATTATTATTATTCATTATTGTTGTTATTAGGGGTGTAACAATATATCGTGCCACAATACATCGCAATACAAAAATGCATTGATGCGTATCGTGGATTACTGAGTAAAAATTACTGTGTGAGGAAAAAAAAAAGATGTTTTCAGAGTTTTCATGCAAGTACTACATTAAACTAATGTTGATTATAATGTATACTAATGCAATGGGGCAATATTTGTGGGTCCTGATAATGCCAAATGTCTGACGTTAACAGTAAAAAGCATCTGACATTATTTGAAATATATCTAGTCGGTGAAAGCGTCCAAGCATCTACAATAACTCTACAATAACTCAGTTGTTATTCTGGTATCTCTATTGTCCTATATTGGGTTACAAGCACCAAGTCGAAGCCTATTCATTTAAACCTAGAATGTAATATCAAAGTTAGCATTTTAAATCAACAGTACTTTTTTCAGTATATCGCAATAATATCGTATCGTGATATGTATCGAATCGTGACATGAGGGTATCGTTACACCCCTAGTTGTTATATTATTCAGGCAGCGCTTAGATTTTGTATAGGTGGATTATGTCACATTTAACAGTCTTGCATTCGTATAGCTAAAACATCAAAGCATGGCGCAAAAGTGTAAGGCGGTCAGTTGCTTTCGAAGACATGAATTGATCAAATACACATCTTTAATGCATTGTGCGTTGCTTCGGATGAAAGCACCTGTCTGATGCATAATGCATAAGTAAAAAATTGCGTATAATGATTTGTCTGCATCAATAACAAACTTTTAGCGAATCTCTGCATATGAAAAGGTGAACTAAACCAAACAATACCAAACAGCAATTGTATCAGAAAAAGCTTTCGGCTGTTTTGAGATTCTGTAGGAGTGGTGAAAGCATTGTTTGTATTGTTTATGTGCTTTCTACAGGGCAGGAAGCCAGGTTATTTCTCCTTCTTGGATCCGTTTTCGCCAGCTGTCTGGCTCTTTATGCTTTTAGCCTATCTGGCTGTTAGCTGTGTACTCTTCCTGGCTGCCAGGTGCCACACCGCCACTCAAAACACACAGATCTATTGTGAATATCATTAAATTCACAGTCCAGCATTCTTCTTGAGGTAACGGTAGTCTTTCCCGGTTTGTTTGTCTGTTTCTCTCCCGCCACCAGGCTGAGTCCATATGAGTGGTACAACCCCTTCCCGTGTTGGCGGGACCGCAAGGACCTCCTGGAGAATCAGTACACGCTAGGGAACAGCCTGTGGTTTCCGATCGGTGGTTTCATGCAGCAGGGCTCAGAGATCATGCCCCGGGCCCTGTCCACACGTTGTGTCAGTGGTGTTTGGTAAGTGGAGATGATTCACACTTCCTTTGAGGTGTAAGAGACCATGCAGTAAGTGTGAATGTGCATCTGTGAGCATTACATCTGTGACCTGAACGCTCACAGTACTTGCGGTACAGTGTTGTTATTGTTCACTAAAATGAACACTATATTATTAACTGTATTTGGTAAATGAAATGCCTTGTGAAGTACCTGAAATAAATATGTTTAAGATCTAAAAGTATTAAAGGGGTCATGAACTGGCTTTTTAAAATGTATTATATTGTTGTCTGAGGTCAACTTATGACGTTCGCTTGGTTTTTGCATTCAAAAACATCAAAATGAACAATTAATAGGCTATTTTCTACCCTAGTTCTGAGCCTAGCTGAAAAACGCTCGGTTTTTATGGGCGTCTCGCACTGAAGACTTGGAAGTAAACGCCCACTGCTGTGAGTGGATAACAGTTTTGCATATTATAATGAGTTTCAACTCACTCGTCGATGCACTTGGGGGAAATTGTTTTGAAAAACGTCCAATGTTGTAAAATGGCAACCGGAATGATTCGCCCATACATGTTCGACCCAGAGTCCGTGTGTTGCACAATTCCTGTGAGAGCCAATATAGACGGCACAGCACCGTTCTTTAATCTTAACGTTTTCAGTTCTGAAACTTACAGGATATTCTTATAATATGATGACCTCTTAGATGTCAAAAGCTCAAGGAAAATTTGATTTCTCAGTTCATCACCCCTTTAAAACTATGTATATTTTTCTGTACCCAATGAGGATTTTAAAGATTTTGTTAATGCAATCCTAGATAGATTATAATAGCTTTAAACTTTGGATTGTTTCTCTTTAATTACTTTTTCTAGTGTTTTAATAGGATTGTTAAATGGTTAATCTTCCAGAATTTCTCTATTTTATGCTTTTGTCCCAACCCAGACTTTATAACTCCCCCTTTATAATAAATACATAAAAAGAGTTAATTATACTGCATAATTATAATGAACCTTAAACATATTTCCAGTCCATTACTTTGTGTGTTTTTTTTAATAACGAAGAGTCAGTGTCACCAATATTACCATTGCACCAAATGTTTTTGAGAAGTGAGAAGAGGGACAGAAAAAACAGGTCTTTTTATTTAAATATCTATTCATATTTAAATGTAAAATAATTATTTAATTTATATAAATTTTCATATTTTCATTGACTGCTGCCTAACTTGGTGGTGTGAGCAACACTATCATAATATTACCAAAATCTACTTGAAGGTTAATCAACACCAAGATCATTCTTTTATTCCAGGGCATGTTTAAACATAAAATTAAATAGTTGAAAGCATTTTTAAGATTTCATGTGTAGAAATGCTAGCTGAATAATCACTCATATCAAATTTGTTGGTAAGTCTTGTTTTTTGTGTTTTTTTTTTTTGTTTGTTTTTCTGGCCAAGTAAACAAGAAAAAATTGACCTACTTGGTGTAAACATTTTCTGTTGGGTAGATTTTCACACATGGGGATGCGTTATTTCAATTTAACATGCACTGAAAATCTGTACTCTGTGTGAAGAGACCATTAAGAGTGTGTCTTTTCTTTTATTGAAAGCGTAAAGTGTATTGAAGTTTGTATGGGGATGTTTGTTTTGTGTGCAGACATGTATTGTGCGCTTCGCTCTTTTGTAGTGTAGTGTATTTCCAGATTAGTCTCCCACCTCTGTTCATTTTGCTATATCAAGTCAAGCTGTCTTGTGTTCCATCTCTTCAATTTCAGTCTTGCGCTTTGCTGTTGAGGTCATTTTAAGCTGAACAACCACTTTCAGAAAAACTAACAACGGCGTTGAAATGATTTGATCTGTGCATGCAGTGGAAGCCAAATGTTTAATCATCTGTGGTGCGAATAAACACAATAGATGCAACTTTAATCCCACACAGGGGTGACCCAGAATCCAGTGAGCTCCCGTCTATCTCCACTGTGTCCCTCAGCACAACGCTAAACTCTGCGATGCTCTTGGGGACGCGTGTCTGCAATTGGTGCACTTTAATTTTTGATAAAGAGCTTTTACTAAATAACAAGTTACTAATCTGCCTGTTTGTGCATTTTCGGAGGCCAGTCTCTTTAGAAAAGTTTTAGATGCTTCACCGGTCTCACGAAAGCTCTTTTTTGAATCTGAGTTTGCAAACATTATTCATTGATCTTTTAGCTTTCTGTTTTGCATTTGATCAAACCAGGTTCATCTGGTTGACATTGCAGCTGTGGGTGTCTTTCAATATTTCATTGAGTGATGTTTTTATGTAAACATATCTGCAAACACCGGTGTCTAATCTAAACATCTGTCTCTAATATACGTGCATTTATATTTCTGTTGACAAAAGACGCTGTGTTTCTGTGTGTACGGGACAGGTGGGCATTCACGCTGATCATCATTTCCTCCTACACGGCAAACCTTGCAGCTTTTCTGACGGTCCAGAGAATGGAGGTGCCAATCGAATCTGCTGATGACTTGGCAGATCAGACGAACATCCAGTACGGGACTATTCAAGGAGGAAGTACTATGACCTTCTTCATGGTACGTAGGTCTTTGTTTGTGCAAACATGTGTTTGTGTGAAATTTGAGTGTGTGATTTGTTTCACTGGGCTTCCATGTGTGCACATGTGATGCCACAATGCATCACTTCCTGTTTATGGTGGTAACTGGACTAGTGACACATACAGGCCCACGCGTAATCTGTGCTGACAGAACTTCAGTAACACAGAAAGCTTCAGATTCCCACAAATTGAAATGCCCTTCATTCACAAAATTCCACCTTTTGCATCTACAGTGAAATTATGAATTAATATATAATTTTTAATAATACTGACAATATTTATACAGTACTATTCAAAAGTTTTGGGTCAGCAAAGTGTTTTAATGTTTTTGAAAGAAGTCTTATTTATTTCTGGGATCGCAAAGCTGAATGTTCAGCATTATTACGCCAATCTTCATAGTCACATGATCCTTCAGAAATCATTCTAATATGCTGATTTAATGATCCAGTATTGCTAACATGGCTTAATGCTCATAAAAGTAGTCGACTAGTGTGCGTGTCAGTGTTTACCTTGTGTAAATCGTTTAAAATACTGGATGAAAAAAACAAAACAAGTGGAGATGAAATCAATCAAAATGGATCCAATGATTTAAATAGCAGTAGAGCTAATCGACTAGTTTGTGCATGTGGTTTAAAATGCATCATGTCCTGTTTATGGCAGCAAACAGTTGGCTTAGTGACTCAGTGCCACATTTATATTCACACTGGAGGCCAAGTTCACTTCCCCTATTACATTAATAATGTATTATCCATCTTTCTTTCCCTTACATTTTCACTTTCCTTCAATATGTTACCTTAATCGAGTTCACTTTCAATGTCTGCCAATAAAATGTCTCTTTATTCATTCACCTGTCCTCATGTCACCGCAAATATAATTTCTCTTTGATTTTTCTCCGCCTTTCAATAGTAAGTCTGTTTCACCTCTCTTTTCTCTCTCTGTCTTTCCCAATGACTTTCATCTGTGATGACAAACCCGCTCTCAGAACTCGCGCTATCAGACGTACCAGCGCATGTGGAATTACATGTACTCCAAGCAGCCTAGTGTGTTCGTGAAGAGCACGGAGGAGGGCATAGCACGGGTTTTAAACTCCAAATACGCCTTTCTTCTGGAGAGCACTATGAACGAGTACTACCGACGCCTCAACTGCAACCTCACACAGATAGGAGGCCTGTTGGACACCAAGGGCTATGGCATCGGCATGCCTCTGGGTGAGTAGAGCGGAAGTGAAAGGCTTCAGGTGGGATTTAAAGGTTTATGAGAAACCAAAGTCTGATTTTAACCTTGTTATACAGGTAGACTAGAAATACTTTACTGTCTAGGTCGGAGGTCTGTTATACAATATCTGAAGACAGCCAGGCGTTAACTTTAAGTGGTTCAAGCAGCAAACTTGGGAAAATGTGTTTTTTTTTTCACACTGTGACTTTATTTCTTATTTTGAACTTCATCTCACAAACAACTGCTTGCTTTAATTTTTACTCCGAGGCGGCAACAGGCTTCCACGTATGATGCGATTCAGTTATTTCAGTGGAAAGCGGCCATTGCGTACTGAGTACGAAATTTTCGTGTTCGTCAGCCTAAAAATTCGCCACGCACAGAAACCTTGCACACTGAGTCCGATGCGTATTTATTAAACCTTTGCGGGGAAAAACGCAAAAATACAAAATGGATTCGTCAAGCAGTGATGATTTTGTTGTCCTCTCTCTTATTGAAAAGAGAAGAAAGAGAAAACATTGCGTCCATCCAATCCTGAAATTGCGCCGAGAGGAAGCACCTCGTTATCAAGGAGTTGCGAATTTATACTGAGCGATTTTTAAAATTTACCTCAGAATGTCAGTGGAACAGTTTCAGCTATGCTTGCGATTCTGGAGCCACATTTTAAAAACAAGACCACCAGTTTCCGTGAACCAATCGATTATGAACAGAGACTGTCAGTATGTTTAAGGTATTATGGGTCCCAAATAATACATTAGTTATCGAATTGGCTGCTCAATCACACATTAAACGATCCGAAATTTCAAACTGATTGAAAGGGGAGGTTATTCCTTTCATAATCCGTTCGAGAGAAGAGAACTTGATCGAATTGAAAACTGAAACTGAAAGCACTGCGTATATGTGCAATGATGTGCGGAAAGAGCTCCCCCCTGCCCTGAATTGTCAAAAAAACTCTCCAAATGCTGGCTGTGGATGCGAAAAACGCAGAAAATCGATCCCGATCCGAATTTTTTTATGACGGACGAAAGTTTCGGAGGAGGTGTGCAAGCGTGATTTACTTAACGTGAGGTCGAATTTTTTTTTTAACGTGCGAAAATTTCGGATGCGAATTTCGGACTCTGTGTGCAATGGCCTTAACACTTTAATTTTTTACAGTACATGCGTACAAATTTCAGTGCGGCTCTGTTCACAGTAAAGGCCATTGCACACTGAGTACGAAATTTTCGAATGCGTTTTTTCGTGTTCGTCAGCCTAAAAATTCGTCACACACAGAAACCTTGCACACTGAGTCCGATGCGATGGAAAAAACGCAAAAATACAAAAAGGACTCGTCAAGCAGTGATGATTTTGTTGTCCTCTCTCTAATTGAAAAGAGAAGAAAGAGAAAACATTGCGTCCATCCAATCCTGAAATTGTGCAGAGAGGAAGCACCTCGTTATCAAGGAGTTGCGAATTTATACCGAGCGATTCAAAATTTACCTCAGAATGTCAGTGGAACAGTTTGATGCTTTGCTTGCGATTTTGGAGCCACATATTAAAAAGAATTTTTTTTTACCAATTTATTTATTTCTTTGGCAATAAATATGCCTAGTAAATATACAAATAATATACATTAGCATTTATTTGTTTATTTATTATGTAAAATTTCTGTTTTAGTTCTGTGAGATGCGACTTTTAGCACCCAAACTCTGACGTGTTGCTCGAGTGAACGGCGTAAAGTGGCAAAAGTATCAAAACATTTTTTTTTTGTTCTATCCATTATCCCTCTGGAAAAAAAAACCAAACAAATCCAAAAGTAAAATAAAAACCATTTTAGTTCTGACAGAACATCAGACAGACAAGATGTCACGATGATAGCATCTCTTCACGCTCTGATATTGCACATTTCTATCTAATGTTTCTCCTGGATAGATGGCTTGGCACTTTCCGTAAAGCTTGATAAATAGCATTTCTGACTTTGTCTTTGACATTTGGCATTTCCAGCAATTATTCATTGACAGACAGAGATATGAGGGAGGGAAACGAAACAATTTATGGAATATGTGTTTTGCTTTGAGGGCTTTAATACTCACTATTGGGTTTTACAATGATAAAGGCAGGAAAAGAGAAAACATGGGGTCTTAAAGGATTGGGCTGGGTGAGATAATGGCCACCACTGAGCCACTGTATTCACTGAAATAATGTAGAAGGGTTTTCTGGACTTGAGTGCAAAGGGGCTTGTCAAGTCAAAATTTAAGAAGCTTACATCCAGCTGTGAAAGTGAAATAGGCCGTAAAAGTGTTATTGGCGTCATGTGGTGATTTCGCACAGTAGGCCTACTACTCCAATTCCCAAAGACTTCGAAGCAAGCTAATAGTGCTGGTATACTTTTCAACATTCTTTTGAAGTTGGTGGTCAGCAGATGGCTGAAATGCAAAATGTCTTTAGTTCAGCTCCAGTGTTGTTCGACAATTCATCAAAAGGCTGCAAATATTTAGCAACTGTATTGCTTTTTGTCCTGGAATTTTGATCCGTACGTTTTAGAACGGAGACTAGAGCTTAAAATGTGAATGCTGTGGACTCTAATAAAATCTATCATTGGTAGATTATGAAAATAAAAACTTTGAATAGTATAGTATAGATTTTCCACTATTTATACATTTCTAAAGTTTTGCCTAATAACAGCCTCACCTCATGTGTGGCATCTTTTCTAGCTATTTCATTATAGTGTGTTTAGTGTCGGTTATATTTATGAGGAGGAAAAAGAGCAAAAATAAAAAATCTAAAAGGTTCTCTTTTATGAAGTCTTGACTTGGTTTGAACAGTCACCAAATGCTCTTGGCAACAATACATGACAAGTTTCATGTCAATATCTCAAAGAATTGCAAAGATATCACCTTACTTCCTGTTTAGTGTCTTTAATGTGTTGCTTTGAACAGTGTAGTGTATCAGAAACCTTTTAATAGCTCTTTACTGACATGGTCTGTGAGATTTCTGATGAAATTTTGGGAGGATTTTGTGAAACCTCAAGGAGGATTAACAATTTTGTAAATCTAATGGGACAGGAATTGAAAACACTGGAAGCAATAAAATACATGGGAATGACATGTCCTGTTATTTTTTTGTATTCTTTATATTTTAGCAATTTTACTTTAAATTCAGTTAGTAATTTTGTTATGAGCATTTGTCTTTTATATATATTTCATTTAGCTTTAATTTATTTTTATTTATTCAGTATATTTATATTCTAATATTTATATTTTATTTTCCGTTTCAGCTTTATTTTATTTCAATAATAAGTTTTTTGAATAGTTTAAGTTAACAACAACACTGTCCAAATCATTCTATCTCAAAATCAGTGGCGCACAGTGTGTTCTGAATTGTGGAGGCAAAGTCCTCTCCATTTTTATATATATATCGATATATATATCGAGTATATATTATCGAGTCGAGTATATATACATACACTAGGGCTGTCAAACGATTAATCGTGATTAATCGCATCCAAAATAAAAGTTTGTGTTTACATAATATATGTGGGTGCACTGTGTATAATTATTTTATATATATTATATAAATGCACACACATGCTTGTATATATTTAAGAAATATTTCATGTATAATACTATATTATACTGTATATAGATTTATATATAATTCATATTATATATAAATATTTTATATATGAATAATATTTTTTTCTTAAATATACAGTACATGCATGTGTGTGTATTTTTTATATATACATATATATTATGTAAACACAGACTTTTATTTTGGATATATATATATATATATATAAATCCATGTGCCAGTTACACTTAATGTTATCACATATTTCTGGTTAAATAAACATTACATGAAAAAAGAGAATAATAGAATAGAAAATAGGAAAAAAAAAACAATTCTATTGAATGTTTTACATTAACTTTGTAATTATTGTTCCATGCATTAAAGTCGAGTATATATTATGTATAAAGCTCATCAATTTAGTTATAAGCACTTTTAAATCTAATTCAAAATGATTACTGAAGGCTTAACAATTTAAATAATACATTTTATTTGTATACTGATGTTCAGCTGCTCTCTTATCACATGACCCAATCATATCCTGTTAAAACTCAATGGACTCAAGAGGCAGGCAAGAGAGACGTGCTGTAACTTTACCTGTGGGTGTCGCCATTGGACAGGGACATTGGACTTTAGAAAAACAAGTGATTTATACAAATTTTTAATGTCACATTTTGTAATATTTGGTGGTTTTATTTTTGTAATTTTTATTATTTTTTTGTCTAATTTTTGGGACCGAGGAATCGCCCCAACTGAAAGCGGCCCAATCTGTGTGCTGTAGACTCCCATTATGCATGAAGTAGAATTAAAGCCTTTCGTGTTTGGTCCCAGTAAAAGATATGTTGGCTCCAAAAATTCAAGAAATTATGAGTATGGTCTTGTTTTAGCAGATAAGATTATGAAAATAAGAGAGAGGACATATGAAGGAGGGATGCTTATGAATACTCACAAACAAGTGGGTAACTTGGATGCGGTGAGGAAATTACCAGTGCTGCTTGCCGTTTTTGATCTTCTGTCCTCCAGGAAGATCAGTCCAACAACCTTATGACCACTAGGCTAAACTGTCCTCCAAAGTATCACTCATAATCGCATGAACCCGTAACTAGATTTGAAATGAGAACCTGCAGGAGCAGCATCCGTCTTCAAAGTCTATCTCCAGGTCATAGAATGTCTTCAAACATTCATTCCCTCCTCCCAGTTCCAACACATCTCTTTAGGTCGCCTTCCAAAGTTCTGGTGCCAAGTGATAAAATCCTCTCATCCACTCATTCATGAAGAGGTTGGTCACCATGGACACCCTCCATCTGCTTCCATAGCTACCTGGAGTGCAGATGATGTCATCACAGCGTCCTTAGACTGGGTTTAGGTCGGTACACACCAACATCAGAGAACTAGTGGAACTAGTAGGCTCACGTCGACTTTGTCTGGACAAAAAAGTTGCATTTGAACACCACAAAAACTACAGCCTATGGCTAAGCATGTATGTTCTGCGCATGCATGAGTCTTCCATGATAACTATCCACAACAGCAGATGACAATAACCTATATTCGTCATTCAAAAAAGGGAATTTGAACTAGCAATTTGAATAAACAAAGCATTTTGAAAATGAATCATGCTGATGAGTTTATCTTCACAGTTATATTGATTAAGCTACATACGGCCATGTTGTTATTCGCGTTTTGGAATGTTTCAAAAAAGACAAAGATGCCGACGCACATGCCACCCTTTAGCGTAATATGAGACGTAATATTAGCATTCAATATGAGATGCAGCTATACATGGGCCAGAAGGCGCCTCCTAGTGTTCTAACCCTAAAACTACCCCAGACCTAAACCTACCCATTACCGAAGTGTGTTATAGTGACGCTAAAGGGTGCCATGTGCGTCGGAATTAGACGCAATGTCAAAAGCATTACCTATATGACGCCCTAGGATGAGAATGCGTTATTATAAGTTCCTAATTTGTATATAACTGTACACAATGCAAAAATTTGCTCACAGACTGGCCTACATTGTTCGACAGCCACCCATCGGCTTGGTGAGTCCCGGCCCTTAGACTGTAAAACATGGAAGGACCATTGTTTTGAGCAACTAGTAGTTAATTACTTTTTTTTCTTCTGTAACATCAATAGGCATTTATTGATCTAGCATACAATTATTTTCGAATATATATATTAAAGGTGCAGTAAGCGATTTCTTAGAAACACTATTGATATTTGAAATCACCCAAACAAACACACCCCTACCAAAAAGGATCACATCCCTCTATCTTTATAGCCCCGCCCCCAAATTTAAGAACATGCTAGGCAACACGGACCCCTTCCCCTATCATGAGAGGACACGCCCCTAACTGCTGATTGGCTACAAGTGTGTTTTGGTGCTCGGTCCGATCCACTTTCAACAGCGTTTCTCAGAAATCCTGCACCTTTAATTCATATTAGTTCATATTAAATAAAGTTGAAAAATATAAATAACAGGGCTGTGCAAAAGATTAATTGCGATTAATCGCATCCAAAATAAGAGTTTATGTTTACTTAATATTTTTGTGTGTGCTGTGTATAATAATTTTGTATATATATAAATACACACACATCCATGTATATATTTTAAGAAAATGTATTATTCATATATAACATTTATATATATATATATATATATAGTATTTACGTGCAAATAATAACTATTTACGTGGATGAATGTATTTATGAAAACAGTTATATGACTGACAGCCAAGAACGGTTTGACCTAAAAATATCAAAATTGAAACTACTGCAGAAACAAAGACACCTACATATTGGATGCCCTTGAGGTAAGCTAAAACATACCAAAAATTAATTTCAAAGTGAACTATCCCTTTAATGTATTTATATGTTTGTGGTAAATATTCAGGTTCAAAAGTGATGTTCAATCAGGTCGTTTTGATAATGAAACCACAAATATTTAAACTTCTCTGAATATTTCAGTGTCAGAAGATGAAAAACAATTTTTCATAACCTGAGATAACAAGAATGTCATTAAAATCCAAGCAATGCAATATGTGGTTGGTGAGCTTTCAAACCTCTGCTGTTTGGAATACCAGAATTATTCTCTTGATAATAAATATAGGAAGGCCATTTTCAAACTATTTTATAAGATATAAAACAATAATGTTAGAAACTTGGAAAAACATGCCTCTACCTACAATCTTGTAAAACTCCAAAAACGTACTTATACATACAATTAATTGTGATTGCTTCAGCAAATGCTATATGCTTTTTGCTATCAGTTAGGTTTAGGGAAGGGTTGGTACATTCATTTTAAAATGCGATAAGCAATAAGCGCCACTCATATTCTGTTTAATTTCCTGCTGCAATACGTGTAACAAACCACGTAATAAAACATTGCTAGATTCACTTTTATCTGTTTCTGATAAAACAATGCACTTTTAGCCCCACTCACTTGACGTTTCACTTAGTTTGAAAAATATTGTGAAACGTGCAAGGAGCAACGTAATTTGTATCATTAACTATTAATTTGTAGAAATATATTTTTCTAATATATTTAGAAAAATATGGTTTGCATATTGTGGTGCAAAAACATGCTCCTGCATGATACTTGGCTTTCACAGCCTTTGAATGAATAATAAAATGGCATCCGGTGGCAGCTGAGCTGATCTATTCCAGTGCAGATCTGCAGTGTCTCATTTACATTAACATCTATTAATTTGATGAACACATCCTTTCACGTCACATTGTTATTAGCGGGACATGATTAGCTGTGATACAGTAATGTCTAATGAAGGACGACGTTATTCTAACAAGTCAAATAATTTGGAATTAACCTATCATAACATTAATTTTCATTCTGACACACTAGCTAATGTAACTCATTTGCACAACATCAGTTGACTTAAGATATTCAGAGTGATGTCTTAGCAGTTAGCTTATGTGTTTTGGCACGTTGAACCTTAGTGCTAATGAGGCCAACACCAGTTTGGGTCATTTCCTATCACTGTCCCTGTCAGTAGAACTGTATAAAAGGCCAACAATTGTTTACTGTGTAGCATTGCTGGTCCATTCAGTCGATTTTTCTCATATTTACAAGAATATCAGTAACCAGACAGTTTCTGGTCTCATTGACTTCCATAGTATATTTTCTTTCCCACTATGGAAGTCAATGAGACCAGAAACTGTCTGGTTACTGATATTTTTCTAAATATCAGAAAATCGTCTGAAAGGATTCAAAAACGGTAAAACTCAACTGTTTAACTCTGGGGGAGTGGTAAAATGAGCCTATTTCCAAAAAAAAGTGGAGTATTCCTTTAACATGCTTGTTGCATTGCTAGCCTTAGCCTGTGTTCACTTCTCAGCCCGTTCTCATCCCAAGGCGTCATATACTGACGCTTTTGCCAGTACGTAGACACCCAACACACATGGCACCCTTTAGCGTCAATATGAGACTCAGATATATATGACCCAGAAGGTGCCTCCTAGTGGTCTAACCCTAACCCTACCCCAGACCTAAACCTACCATAACCGAAGCGTGTTATATTGAAGCTAAAGGGTGCCATGTGCGTTGGATGTATACGCGTTGGCAAAAGCATCAGTATATGATCCCTTGGGATGAGAATGCGTTAGAAAGTTTCCCAGCATTGCCAAGGTTTTACAGTAGATGGTTGTCAGCTGGTATCTCTGAGAGTAACTAGCTAAACTAGCTAATTTCACTCTATCTCTTGCAGGTTCACCATTCAGAGATGAGATCACATTAGGTGTGCTGCAGCTCCAAGAAAACAACAGATTAGAAATCCTAAAGCGCCGCTGGTGGGAGGGGGGGAAGTGTCTTAAAGAAGAAGACCATCGAGCCAAAGGTGAGCACTGTTATTATACTCATTAGCACTTCACCGTAATGTACTGTTCTGTTACTTTACGTCTTGATGCCGACTTTAATAGGGTCTGGTACAACCTTAGATGTTTATAATCTCAAGTACGTATGTATTTATTGAGCTATTCTCCCAAAATGTTTTATCCTTTTAACCTACAAAAAGAGATTCAATTATATCATATATTATGTCTAAGAATACCAATAGATATGTTTTTGGATCAGGGGTGGGTAGATAGACAAATTTCTATATATATATGAAGAGTTCAGATGCAAAAGCCTCTAAATGCCATTTGAAATTTTCTTCTAAAATGACCATTTTTATCAAGCTTGTATATTTAAGTTCAGTAATTTTACTTAAATGACAATTAATAGGTAATCTTCATTGCCATTTAAGTGAAATTACTGAACTTTAATATACAAGTTTGATAAAAATCATCATTAAAGAAGAAAATTTCAAATGGCATTTAGAGGCTTTTGCATCTGAACTCTTCATATATATATATATATATATATATACAGTATATATAAAGTTAATATATATTTTTTTCTAATTTATAAAGTATGTATTTGTCTATAAATTACTTTTTGTGAGTGTGGTCTCAAATAGGTGTAAAAAGGGAGTTTTATAAATGTTGATATAAATTATGGAAATGTATTGTTCAAATGAGGGTGAAAAAGGTACTTTGCCTTCCCAAGTATATTTGAAGAGTTCAGATGCAAAAGCCTCTAAGTGCCATTTGAAATTTTCTTCTTTAATGATGATTTTTATCAAACTTGTATATTTAAGTTCAGTAATTTCACTTAAATGGCAATGATAATTACCTATTAATTGTTATTTAAGTGAAATTACTGAACTTAAATATACAAGTTTGTTAAAAATTATCATTAAAGAAGAAAATTTCAAATGGCATTTAGAGGCTTTTGCATCTGAACTCTTCATATATTGCTCTTCAACAAACACCTGTTTGTGTTCAATGTAAAAAATATATACTTTTGCTCAAATCACCCAAACATGTCGTTCTCTATATTGTTGTAATATTGGATATAGGATGTACTTCATCCGTCAGTTTCAAATGACAGATGCTTCACAGTTCTGCCAACTCTGTGACTGTTTATTTATGTGGTCTGGTGATATTTGCATTGTGTGTGTTGTAGACTCACACTGGCCCTGGGGGAATGGAGGGAATATGGTAGCTATTTGTTGCGAAAGGCATGTACACGTGTGTGCCTATGAGTGTAATTCCTCTAGAGTGGTTTGCATTCGCAAAGCTTGTATTTTTACCAGATAGTGACATTTACAGTCTCTCAAGGTTATTTACAGATCTACAAGAAAATGTCAAATAATATGAGTTCAAAATAATATGAATCTGGTACTTTCTGGTCTGTTCCTGTTTATTCTAAACTGTTTTTGCTTCAAGGTTAAACTTGTAATGGTCACCCTACACAGAACAAACATTGAATATTCAAAAATTAAACAATGACTTTTTATTTCTAATATTATATAATTAAGAAGATATTTCTCCTCTTCTTATACTCCCAATGGCTCCTGGCTCATATTTTTTTTTCTCTAGGTGTCATAATGCAGTATATTCTTCCTAATATCAGAAAAAACATAAATCTCAAACCACAGTATACAGATGTTACTTCCGTTGCTCAAATGAAACTTGAGTAATGCAAACGGACCACTGCATTGTTTTGTTTTTTTACCAATTCATTGAAACAAATTCGTTCAGTCTTGATAACTCCGCTGATAACTCTTAGGAATGCCGCCCACACCCACCTACATCTCAGAAATGTAGATTAATAGGATCCTAATCAGATAAACAGTGTGTTTGTAAAGGACAATTCTGTGTGTTGCTCACATTGCCATGTTTTTCCTCCAGGTCTAGGTATGGAGAATATCGGCGGGATATTCGTGGTGCTGATTTGTGGGCTCATAATAGCTGTTTTTGTAGCCATTATGGAGTTTGTGTGGTCCACGCGCCGGTCAGCCGAGACAGATGAGGTACGCCCTCACTCCCGTACTGGGTACTGCCCTGCCCGAAACCACAGACATGCACGAGTAGGTCACAACGCCAACCAGTCACGCCGTCTGTGTTCGCAATGTTACTGTTTTATAGCTTTCTATTTAGCGTTGCTCAAATGGTGAGCGTAGTGCTAGCAGAACAAGGTCATTGGTTCGATTCCCAGAATATGCATCTTTAAAAAGTATATACCTTGGATAAAAGCATATGCCAGATTCATGTATATAAATATAGGGACAGGTTGCTTGAGTATGAATGAATGCTACTGTAGACCATTTTAGCATGTTCATTTAATTCAAATTTTTAGAAGAAAATGCTTGCCCAGCATAATAGTGAATCACAGCCTTTGAGTTTCACAATATTTGAAAACATATTATATTCATTTCATTTTAGACTAATGGGAAAGTAAAGACATGGTTGTTCTTGCTCTGAAAACTTTACTTTGCATACATCATTCAATGCAGGATATTTCTGTCGCAGGTCAAGTGGCAAAGCATGTCACTAGTAACGCCAAGGTCATAGGTTATGTTTCCCTATTAGCACATTTACTGACATCATATCTAAAATGCATTTTCGTCGCTTTCAATAAAATCATCTTCCAAATGCATATATTTAAATTTGTGGGATTTTTTTTTTTTTTTTACATTTTATTTATTAGTCCACCTGTTGGAGAACCCCCTAACTCGGTGGTTCTTAACCAGGGGCCTACTATGATGCCTCAGGAAATTTCCAAACGCGCCTCAAATGACTTAAAATGATTAAAAAAAAATAAAAAAAAACGGCATTAGAAAAAAATGGGGCTTTCGAATAATATTGTGGACAATGGGAGGATTGGTTTGAGGTTGAGAACGACTGCCCTAATTCCTGGTTAGCCCGATTTTGGCACGATCCGTTTGATGTAGGGTGTCGTGGGGATTTGTAAACGACAAAGATTCGATCGTATCATCTCGTTTAGTGTGTCATAGTGGGCGACAACCTACAACGCGTCTGCGATGCTTCATGACATCATGACAAAAAGACTAGCATGTTTAATTTTTTTAACGGCCGTCCACAACGGTTCCGTCACATGTACTGTATGAGGTTGACCAATAGGAGCACAGAAGCTTTTCCGTACACAACTTTCAAAAATGGCAAAACGAAAGAGAGAAGATGGTGCTAACGTTAAAACTTAAAGTAAAAATATATAAGAAAACAATATTTTACCTCAAGTTCTCTTCGGAGGATTGACCGCCCACACTGTCCTCTTCGAGCAATTCAGGAACGTGTCCATTATTGGGTTTTCTCTCATTTTTTACTTTTTTCTGAACACAGGACAGCCAATACAACACTCACCGCGTCATCCATTGTTTGTTTACGTTCGTTTCCGGAAGTCACTCGCTACTAGTTTCGCCTTCTCGATGACATCACGCTCGCCGTTAAAAACGGCATGCGATGACTGGTCAGGAAGCAACTTGTAGTCTGACGTCTCTTGTCAACGACACGACAAGATTTTAGGAGTGAAAATCGCGTAATCTGACACAGCGACTATCGTAACAGACGAAAAAATTGTGAACCAGGCATGACTCTCACTACGAGATGTAGTAATAGTGATTCCCACTTTAGGTAAATGAGAAAATTGTTCTTTTTTCATTTTACTCCTGTCCCGTCATTTTACATTTCCTTCCTGACTCTCTTTTCACTCTTCCTCCTCACTAAGGTGTCAGTATGTCAGGAAATGATGACCGAATTCAGGAACGTCATCTCCTGTAAAAAGAACTCTCGTTCGCGGCGGCGGCGACCCCTCTCGTCCCAGGGTGTTCTTCGACACCCAGCACGTCTCCCTTTAGGAGTTCCCCGGCCCGTACGCCTTGTGCGGGAGATGCGTCTTAGCAACGGCAAGCTCTACAGTGGGACGGGGCCGTTAACCGGTGCTGCAGCGGGACCAGGACCCGGTGGGGGTGCCGCGGAAATGGGCCCGGGGCCTCAGCGACTGCTGGAGGACCCTCTCAGTGCCAGTGTCCCGAGCAGCACACCGGCTCTGCTCCCCACAGCGGCGCCCCGCGGCTGCACACACGTACGGGTGTGCCAGGAGTGCCGGCGGATCCAGAGCCTTCGCTCCACGTCCTCTTGTTCGCGCATCTCGCCACTGGCCTCCGCCACGTCATCTCTCCCGCGTTTGCCGCCGCCACCGCCCACCTCCAATACAAACACCGACAGTGAGAGTAGCCCACGCAGGGCCAAACCCACACCCCCTCCGAGACCAATCCCGCCCACTAAAACCCCCTCCACTGATCTCCTCTGCAAGCAGGACTGAGGCCGCCCTTTCATCTGGACAGTAAATTAATGTAAATGAGTGCTGGAGGACAGATGGAATGACTCTGTCCACATCTCCAGTCAAAGTGACCTCTGGGATACTGCAAATAAAGGCAATTTTTGGATGCAAAATTACATTAATGGACACTGAGTGAGAGATGATTCAGCCAACCGCTTCCTGTCCAAGTGTTTGGTTTAACACCACGTCATTCAGTGGAGGTTTGGCACGCTGTTGAGACTACATAATGCATATCCCGTGGAAGTATGCTATGCAACATGTCATAAAGGGAAACACGGAAGGAAACTATAAGGACGACTATCAGTTTCGCGTTGAAGTACGAATCTTCTCCATGATTTGTGTACTCCTGTGAGAGGACGATGGAGTCTGTTCCTAAAATGTGTGCACGTTGAACTGAACGGACTTTGGTGCAATTCTTTTCTTTCTTTCCTTAAACAAGGGGGAAGGGTTACAATTAATTTTTAATCCTGGATGTCACTTGGTTGTTTTCCTTTCCAGCTTTTTCTTTGGTTTCGTTCTTTTAAAATACCTGTTTTTCCCCTCTTGTTAATTACCCTGAGGACAAAGTATATCGATTTTTTTAGGGGAAGTTTTATGGTTCTTCAACCTCTAAGATTACTCACCTGGTTTCAATCTCTTATCTTCTGTTTTATTTAATTAAAACACCAGCTGTTAAAGGTTAAAATCAACATGAAACGGAATTTAAAAAAGTTTACTAGGATATTCAAGAATGAAAATGTAGAGTGGGACTTGATTTATTCATCAGGAATTGATCGGATCGCGCAAAGTGAGCGTTCCAGACCTGAATGTCAGTGGAATGTCAAGGTCGAGTTCATCCTTGAGACCATCGCCGCAAATCCCGGTCTTTTCAAATCTATTATAATTTAATATGTTTGCCATAACTTTTATTGTATTAACATAACCCAGGATTCATTTACTGTGTTGGCAAGATTTTAGAAAGGCTGCATTATTGTACCTAATAAAGTAGTCTACAATAATGCCAATTTGGCTATTAGTTAACAACATTAACTAATAGCATGCACAGATGCTGTCAGCCAATCAGGAAAGTCTTTTTAGAAGTGGGAAAGTTACATTTTTATGAAACGTTATAGTATTCAAGCACTTTTCCCCCCCTTTGGAGTAACGTGCACTGGTGAATCGTTCACAATAAGACCAAGAATTAGTTTTGATTTTATGTAGATTTTAACAAGCTGTCCATCAATATTTGCAACTCGTAAGTACACAGAGAAATACTTCTCATCCCCGGAACAACAAGACGTGACAAAACCACCTTTGTGAACCTGAAGGGGTATTTATCTGATTATGTGAGAGGACAATTAATGATGTTTTTCATTATATAACTAAATGAGCCTCTGTCATGAATGGTTTGTTGAAGTGCACTAGAAGTTGCTGTCTGGGTGCTTGTGAGATGCCAATATCCATTTATATCCAAAGTGTAAACATAGCAGCCCTGTTTAGAATCTGCAGCGTTCTAGCGTTCGTGTGTGTGCGCGCGCGCGCGTGCGTCAAAGAGAGATGGAAATGTAATCGTCATTTTTTAATTCAAAGCTGATTCTTTTTTTATTTCTCATTCATTTTCAAAGATTTCTATACCAGTGCTTGACGAATCACACCCACAATTAAGAAAATGAGGCAAATGATTCAGATTATATTGTTATTAATATTCCAATAAAACTGTGGGGTTATGTAGGAGGGCTGTGTTACCCTCTTTCGTTAAATATATAGACACATGTTTTGAATAAAACAGAGTGATTGAAACTGTGACTTTTTCCCTTGATGGATGTTTCTTGTAATTTGGTCATTTAGAAAAAAATCTTTCTCACTATATTATTTATCATGCGTGGAATACTTTAAAGTCCCCTAGTGGTTAAAATCAAGCTTTTAATGTTTTTTATATGGCTATGTGGTGTTTTTAATATGCTTTAAGACAAATTATGTTCAAATTCATAAGTCAACACCATTGCAGAGTATTTTCAGAGTATTTTCTCTTCAAAACTGCAGTGAACGAAAGACCGTCTCAAAAACGCGGTTTGAAATAGCTGGCGTTTCTGATGTCGCAAACTACCTTGTAACCTATCACGTCAACGTGTGGTCGTCAATGAGTGGATCTCTGAGCTGGTGTGAGTGAGTGGAGGCGGGGCTAATTTGCATATTCTTAGAAGCGCCAATGAGGCAAGGGTGTAGAGTTACATTCAAGCCCTACCTCTAGATCAAAATAAGAATTGGGATTGCCCTTAGTCTCAAGTGAACTTGCAAAACTAAGGGGAAGGGGTAAGACAGAGAATTGGGATTTAGCCTAAATCCTCACACTGACTCTCCTAACTGGGTATTACACAATAAGTTAATTAGTTCTGCTATTAATGCTTGAACTTAATAAATCAGAGCGATAAACAAAAGTACATTGTATCGGCCACTTGGTTTCTATGCGTTTAATAAAGAAGGCTGCTGTATTATTGTTATAATTCAATTAATGATTTAACTATGTTCATAAAAACAACCACTCTCTCCTCTCAGATGATCCCTTTCCACCAACCACCGTACCTTCACAGCACACAACCAATCCCTGTCCAGTCCTGGTGTATAGCCCCGCCCATAGTGAAACCTCATTGGTCCAAAATCCCACTCTGAATATCCATATAACGTAACTTCTTCTTCACACACTGAATCCTTTGTAAGAAAGATCTAAACATTTAATACTTAATTACAAGGTATTATAGTAGATGTAGATGTTTTAATAGTGCCTGAGTTTTTTTTTTAGTTTTTTTAGTTTTTGTTTTTTTGGGAGGGCTCTTAAAGGGATACTCCACCTCTGGAAAGATGAATGTGTATATAAAATGGGTCATTTATGTAGAAGAAATGTGAAATTATTTTAGAATTTGGAGCTTTCTAGACTGAGAAAAGCCATGTGGATGAAAGACAACAACTCCCAGAATGCACTTGCTTCGCTGCCCTAGGAAGCCACACCTACCGGTAACAGAGCGCAGTAGTTAAACAACAAGTCTAAGCTACTAGTGAGTCTCCGTGATGAGTCTGCCCGAAAATGTGTTTCGAGATCGCCCAAAATGTCCGGGATTCGGCTTTTGCGCTCTACAGTCGCCATTGATCATGTTTACTGTGGTGAGCGGGACGAGTGACGGCCGCGGGAGAACAACGCAAGGCCGGTGACGAAATTACAATGTGCGACACCTGTGAGACACACCGGTCTCGTATCCCTCACGGAGGAGCGGGAATTTTCTTAGCAATGTTAAAACGCACATCAACCGATCACTTGTTTAGCGTTCATGAAACACTACATTCAGATTCACCAATCAGAATTTATTCAGTTAGATTGAATTAAAAGGTGTGCACGTAAACAATGAATGGCGACTCCAGAAAGCAAAAGCTGAATCCCGGACCTCGACGGCCGGACATGTCCGGGAAAAAGAGGATGGTAACATCTTCTACTCAGCTTTCTCCACAGAACAAGAGCCTGCTAGCTTAGCTTCCAAAAAAAGATGGCTGACACCATTGTGTTCATTCTGTGAGTGAGATGCTCCCTCTATGGGCAGACCCTACTACTGACCGTAGTCTTTAGCCTCTGGCCAAAAAAATCCTCCAATGACGCAAAATGGCGATTTTTGCGTCATCGGACGATTTTTTTCCAGACAAAAAATACATAAATCTCTCATCTCAGGGGTATATGAGGGTGGAAAGCATGGTAATTCGAAAATACCGCAGGTTTTCTATTGATACAAAGCTTAATAAATCCTGAAGTATCCCTTTAAAAGACTTCATTTGATTTATCTTTCGACTGTCGTGACAGCTCGAGCCTCGTGCCCCTGGTAGTCACTAATGAGGTTTTTAATTTTTTTTAACATGCCGTGAAAGCAGCTTAAACATCAGACATTTTCTGATTGCCCATGTTTGTGTCATGCAGGGCTCCATTTTCACTTTCATTGTGATTCACAAATTACTTGCATCACGCCTGGTTAGGGCACACTTGTTGCATCACTGTGATCGAAGGTATCCATTATGTTAACAATTAAATGTTTATGCATTCTTAGAAGAACAGGCACATGAAAGTCAAGGTGAGTCACACTACACTACACTTCACACGTTATTTAACCAAATATATACACATGCCAGATGTCACCAACCTGTTCAACCTGTTCAGATGTCCACAGGAAAGATGATATTAAAGCATTTCCACATCTTTTAAAGGATACTTGACATTTGGCTGCCCTTATGAATTACATAAGGGCAGCCAAGGGGATATGATAAGATGACTAAACGGAGCAGATGTCCTGATTTGTGCTTTTATATGCAACTGAGAGAGAAAGGTTGAAATAATTGTTCAAAACTGCCTTCCAGTGGTAGACAGAAGCATTGCCCCGATGATAATGCTTTCATTGAGATGTTCTCAGGCTAATGCAGCGCTCCTACGTGATGTTCTGGATGTCTGAGTTCAGATGAGGACTGCTAAATGAGAGGACATGGGAAGGAGCACAGGCTGTGAGTTCAAGTGAAATGAGCAATGCTGACTTAAAGAAAAATACAGAAAACAAAATGAGTCTATTTTTAAAAATGTCTTCTAGTCCTCATGGAAGAGACAGAAAAGTATTTAGAGAGATGCTGAGCATGCTTTTAAAAATGCGTCATGCCCCTAATGAGATCCCTAACATTTCCATCAAGGGGATTTTAAACGAAAATTTGGTCACACTTAGGGTCAAGTTCGCACTATTAACTGCGACTTTTGCCTCAATAAACTCCTAATTATTAACAGTAAATTGTTAAGCTTAGGGATGTAGAATATGGTTATACAGAATAATGCATTATAAGGATAATTCACTTTGAAATTAATTTTTGATATGTTTTAGCTTACCTAAAGGGCATCCAAGATGTAGGTGTCTTTGTTTCCACAGTATTTTTTATTTTTGATATTTTTAGGTCAAACCGTTGGTGTCTGTCAGTCATATAATGGAGGTCTATGGGGTCCACCTCAAAGAGCATGCACAGAGAAGTCCAAATTAAACATGATTCAATGACTCATAAATGTAAGTACACATTGATGGCCTAAGACATGAAACGAGCGGTTTGTGTGAGAAAACGAACCGTTTTTATATAGATTTTACCACAGCCACGTTCAAGTAATCTGAGGGCGCGGGCGCTTTGTGGCTCGGAATAATGATCCTGAATAAAAAGCGAAATCAAAACTGATTCTTGAGACCTGGACGAACCATTTCTCATAAATTGTCCCAAAATGATGCCATTGCATCATCCCTTATACTATCCCTCTTCAAATGATAGTAAAATGAATTAAAATAAATAATATAGACAATTTTCAGCTGGACAAGAATTTTACCCCAGACAAAATGATCCACCATTGACAGCTTCCAACTGTAACACATCTCAAAATATGTATTATTAACTTGATTTGTTTTACCCTGAAGGGTAAAAAATGTCTAATTTGGTGCCTAGATAGGAAAACATGTGTCGGCAAGTCAATTCTCTCAGATCCCATATGCAACACCCTTGGGCAGCTATTAGCTGGGGGTATACATAAATCAGAAAGTGGTAGAAAAATGAGTTATCTTAAAGTAATTGTTTTCAGTGAAGCGTACACTTGAGCAGACCAACTGCCAGCAGTGTTGTTCCACTGTCATCCAGCTCTCCAGGGGAATGTTGTAAGAAGCATGAACACCTGTAAACCTTTATAGATGATTGTATTTCACAGGAATCTGTCTCTGTAAGGTGTTCTTGCAGAAGTACTACTGTGTCCTTTGACTGCATGAGGAAGAACCACATCATATGGCAGGTGGGCAGACACTAAATTCACAGAGAAACCCTCAAATGTTCCTATTTAAAGACTAAAAAAAATGTTTAAAATGCTAGTTACCCATTCATGAAAACTCTGTCATCATTTGCACCCTTTAAGTTGTTCCAAACCTGTAAGAGTTTCTTTCTTATCTGTTGTACACAAAAGAAGATATTTTGAAGAATGTTTGTAACCAAATAGTTGATGGACCCCATTGACTTCCATTTTTTCCCCAGGTTGAAGTAATAGGGCCCATCAAGGTTACTGACATTCGGTCACACTTTAGATTTGGGTCCTATTCTCACTATTATCTACTATTGTCTCAATAATCTTCTAATTACTGTTTATTAATTGTATGTGGTATAGTTGTTAAAATTGGATTAGGGATAGAATAGGCAGAATAAGGCATTAATATGTATTTTATAAGTAGGCTACTAATAAACTATCCTTGTAATATGCATGCTATAAGCAACTAGTTAGTAGCCTAGTGAGAATTGGACCCTAAAGTAAAGTTTTGCCTGACATTTTTAAAAATTTCGTTTGTGTTCAGCAGAAGAAAGAAATTCATACAGGTTTGGAACAACGTGTGGGTGTGTATAGGACTAAATGACAAAGTTTTCAATCGTGGGTGAAGTCCCAAAGCTTGGAGAGCATGTTCAAAGAGACCACTTTCTCTCACGATGCTAAGTAAGAGAGAATATAAATACACTGATCAAAGAGATCTACAGAAACCACTATATTTGTTAAACTGCCTACCTATTGCAAATTGCTAACTCTATTCCATATGGCCGATGTTTTTTTGTTTGTTTGTTTGTTTGTTAGTAACCTACGCTCATGCGCAAGCATGAAATGTCTTATTTTGACGCTAGGCGTCAGTAGAAGCTAGAAGTAGGCTACATCCCTCTCTCTCTCTCTCCTCTCTTCTTCTCTCTCTCTCTCTCTCTCTCTCTCTCCTCTCCTCTCTCTCTCT